TATTTTAACATGGTTTTTACAACATAAACTTGTAAAATTATCTAAATCTTGGGATCTGTACAGATATGAGAAATTAGGATTTTCTCCTAGGACGACTCGACCAGGTATTTTCCTGAGGGAGCACAGAAGCTGCCTCCTTCCATGCGGGCCGGGAGTGCGCCTCGTGGCGGGGTCTGGCTGGCGTGAACAGCAGAGCTGCGGCAGGGACCCCACCTCACCGCAGTGCTGTGCTGCTCATTTATTCGATCGTAGTGTTGGCTACACTCAGCAGGTTTTATTTCAGCTCGTTGATGGCGTGGGGAACGGGAAACAGGTTGCTCAGACTCCAGGGAAGCCTTTCGCGGGAGAATTGCCCCATCCTCTGTTCACAATTTCCAACTTTGAAAAGAATGTTGGATGGTTTTGTTGAGTGTGACAATTCTGATGGATTGACACTGGTTGCCTGAAGGACTAAGATTTTGAGACAAGGCCTAGGTCTACCAGAAAGGACAAACTGAGCGTGGGAACAGCAGGGTGGTGGCTTGCATGCCATGAGTCGGCCCTTTATGGCTAATGTATTGTGAGGAAATAAGAATCTGGTTGCTCATAGCTGAGCACATTGATTTCAAAGCCAACTCCACACTGAGCACAGAAATGAGAGGAAAATGAGCTCTGCCGCAGCTGATTGAGTAGCAGGTGAAAGATTCTTAGTGTTTCGGGTAGTGACTAGGCCACACACAGACGGTGCATGCAGTCACTGTTTTAGATCATGGAGTCAAACTGCCGAATTTCATTATCTTATTTGTTTCACTAGAGTTCACATTAGATTCTACGGCAGCTTTTGGTCAAACCTCTGCTTTTGACCTTAGCTCTGTGGAGCCGGTGTCAAGCTGGACCCATCTGCCTCTCTTGAGAAAGTGGTGATGTGTGGGGATGGCACAATCTTCAAAACCGTGGCGACCGAAAGCTTGTAGCGAAGGAATTTCCCTGAGTAGATGATTGAAACGAACTCTTCCCTGTTGCAGTTGCGTGTAGTTGACGCTACCTAGCTAGGCAGTGCCAGAATTATAGGCGGGGGGTATCATAAAAATGCCAAGGGCCTATCTGTCCCCACTGTCAGCCCTGAAAAGGTAATTTGGATTTTTGCTTATCTTCTGGAAGCTTCTTAAGTCTTGGGCTCTCATTAGTATGCACAGTGTGGTCCTTAGCAGAGTATTGCAGGCAGCCAAGCTTATCACTTAGGAAATGACAGTGTTTGTTAGCTTCCTATTAATGTGATAAAAGGCAACAAATAATTTGATAAGAGAACTGTAACAAAAAGCAACCAAACAGAAAACCCCCTGCAAATGTGGGTCCTAGGCATCCTCAGCCCTGAGGGGTCTCGGCCTGCTTCCTCTGCCCGGTTTCCATGCGGAGAGCCCGCTGGCTCCTTCGCCACCCCTGCCGAGTCGACTGAGTATTCCACTTGCCTGGCAGATGCGGTCTCCCCACCTTGCAGCGGACTGGTGCTGTGGACCCTTGGTCTCTCTGTGTTGGTTCACACACAGGAAGACCACGTCCTGGCACATATTTGGAATATGTGCTCTAGGGCAAACTGGTTTCTCCGAAATAACAATACCACACGTTCATTCAGCCTAGTAGCCAGAGAGCAGATGGGAAGCCTGCTTATCCTGCATTCCTCCTTCCTACCTTCCTTCTCTTGATCCACTGGCTTTGGTTTTTCTTGACTGTGGCCTGTGTGTAGTAACTGCTGCTGTCGTGCGGGCACCCCCTTGGTGCCCAGTCCTGTGCCAAATGCTTTACGTTTGTTATCGCATTTGATCTGTGATCACTAGAACACAGCCCTGCTCTACTCAAGTCTGCCTCCGAGTTTGGTTGGGGCGCTCACTGTACAAATTACTCTCCTTTAAGGCTGTAATTATGTTAATAGATTCAATTGTCATCTAGTGAAACCATAAAGTGCTTCCATCTGCCTCTTGCCAGGAGCAGCTGAGCTTATTAGCAGCAAAAGCTGAACAAGACACTGGCTGTAGACATAAGTCAGTGAGGGAGGGAGAATTTTGTGGCACATGTGGTCTTCCACAGCTCGGCTTCTGCTGACCTCCCTGCTAGCCCCCTTCCCTGGGTGGGGCAGGGGCAGGGAGATTAATCTGTTTTTCAGGCCAGGACACAGTGGCCTCAAAGCAGTACTTTGTGAGTTTCTGCCCTCACCAGCCACATCATGTAAAAGCAATTTGCATGATGCTGAGCTGAACAACTTTTTTCCTGCAAGTGTATTTTTGTCTTCTATAGAATTTTCATGGTTATTTCTAGACAAGAAAAAGAGGTTCTAATTTTGTGTAGTATCTTACTGATTTAAATCCTTAGCTAACTAAATTAAGGGCCCCCTAAAACTACTCTAAAGTCTGTTTTCCAGAGAAGTGCTGAATGCTACATACGAAAGGGAGGCAAGTTGACCTCTCCCAATAAGTTACGCAGAGAGCAAGCAGCCAGGGCGCGGTGAACTGGGCCGCAGGCATTTCCTTCCTGTCCAGTTTCTTGGTGAGCCGCCATTTAGCTTGTCGTGGAGGTTTCTCCTATACCTTGGGGGTACACACACTACTATTGGCATAACCTGACCATTTCCGCTTTTCTCCCCTAGACGTGATCCGAAGTCTTTTCACTAGTAAATCCACTCACTATGATTTTGTAATTTTGTTTTTCTGCTTACAAAGTTCAACTATTACAGAAATATAGGCAGGGAATGTCTCCTGTATTCCTACCCTCCAGAGAAAGTTTAGGACACATTGCTGCCATATCTGTCAAACATGCAGTGATATTCCACAGGTGGCTTTGGGACCTCTCTTTCCAGAACCTACTTTGTGTATGATCTGTGTTGGTACCTATGGACTACGTCATTCTCATCGGCTGCAGAGACTCCCCTGTGTCTGTGCACTGTACAGCTGCTCCTGGCAAACTTATGCCACCAGACAGGGATTCTTGGCAGTTTCTCTCTCACGAGCAATGCCATGATGAACATCTGTGAATACCTGTGCATAGTTGTGGGAGCGTTTTTAAAGCATGCATTTACTTTGCATTTCTTAGATTCTTTCAAAGTTGCCGTTTTGATGGTGACTGGCCTTCTGTAGTGCTTGGGGACCCAACCCGCAAGGAGGTGCTGCTCCCTTCCCAGCTGGAGCCCATTGGCCTTTCTTGTCCTTCATTAGAGGAGGAAAAACCCAGGGAATCCATGGAGATTTGGTTTCCCATTGTGGCATCACATTTGTTGTCTAAGGACAAAGTGCAGCTGAGTCTCTGGGAGGACCAGCTGAGTCGTCCAAAAATCTCTAAACACCCAGGGGCCACCGTAGACGTCTGCGGGGCTGTGCTCTGCAGCCTTGCCCAGGAGTCAGCCCGTTGACTCCTTTAGGAAAAGGTCAGTTTCATCATCTCTAAAAGACAAAATGTCTAAAAGTCTGAAAGAGAACTGTTGTGGGGACAGAGTGACTCCTGACTAATTACTTGACTTCACTGTGAGTGCGCACAAGTAAGCTGTTTGGTATTTCGGCACGTTAGCCAACAAACAGCTGTGCTCAAACTTCAGCAAGTTCCTTGGGAATGTAATTTAGTGCCATTCTAAAAGGAAAACACACACACATTTTAAGTGCTGTGTGGGGTTTAATGAGCATGGGGTGTTGAGTTGAGCAAGCTGTGGGTGTTGGAATTTAACTTTTTTTACACACACACAATTTTTTAAAATCTCTCTTCCTGCTTCCCCCCCACCCCAGATTGTTTGCAGGTGTTTTCCCTCGAATGGCAGCAATCAGTCTGGGAGGTTTCATCTTTCTTGGTGCTTATGACCAGACTCGCAGCCTGCTGCTCAGACTCGGCAGAGAGAGCCCGTGAATCAGACGCCCCACGTCCATTTCTGTCAAGAAAGGGTACTGCTGTGGGAACTCTCTGCCTTCCGGTGAGCAGCTGTTCGGCCATCTGAACAACAAAACTCAGTGCTAAAATCCAATTTTGCTACGATTACAACACTGAGAATGCGTCTTTCATGCTACAGGCTGGCTGGAATGACGTCATCAGCCTCTTTGCCAGAAAGTTATGAAAGAGAGAAAATGACATCCACAGCAGTACTTTGAACAGTTTTCTCAGAGCCCATTAATAAATGAGTTTGGTAACGCTGAGTCCAGGCCCTTCAGAACTTTTATTTGATCTGGTATCTGATCTTTCATTTCCTGCCACCTGATAGTGGATTCGGCAGAGGCAGAGATGGTTATAATTGTAAAAGAATGGCTAGACTGGGCAAAGGAAGGAGAGGCAGGGAAAAAGTTACAGATGTGGGGTGCGTTTCTCCCTGGGTTGATTCCTATTGTGTAAGCTTATAGCTTTGTTTAAAGAGAATGAACTACAGGTGCACAGCAGGCATTCTTGTTGGGGAACCAGGCTGCTGCTGTTAATTACCTTCAGATTTCACCTATAAAAAACACAACTGTATTGTTTTACAGGGAAGTGTCCAGCGGCCCATGTGGTGTGTGAAAGCAAGCAAGCAGTTGCAGCTCAAGTGACTAGGCGGGCCCAGCTGGCCTCGGGCAGGAGGGCACAGGGGGTCCTCTGAGGAAGCTGAGCCAGAGTGCACTCTTCTCGGTTTCAGACTGGAAGGGCGGGCCTGGGCCGCCTTTGGAAAAAGTGGTGTTCTTTTCATTCCTAATCAGTAAGGTCTGTAGGCTGGAGTTTTAAGCTCAACATTGGGAACAGAAGGGATGGAATGGGCAGGTCACCATTGTAGAGCCTGACAAATCAGTTCCAGGTGTTAGAAAACTAACTTCAGAGAAAAATCTCAGGCATCTAGTGGTGTCATGTCTTCCCTGAAGCAATAGTATATATAATTCTGCTTTGGCTAAATTTTTTTTCCTTTTTGGGAAAAAAGGTAATTAAAGGCAGGATGACTGCATTTGTAAGGGAATCGAATCTCTGGAATTAAACGGGCTGAAGCAATGCTGGTTAATGCAGGGAGAAGAATGACCCCAGACACACACTTAACATTTTATAAATGAACCTTTATTAAAGACACTTCAATGCCATTTGTTAGACACTTCAATATTTTACATGTTTTTCAATGTACATTGTACCAAAGTTTCTATAAATAAATAACTTTGTACATAAAAGTAATACTTCCTCTTTCACATTGCCTCTCAGAAGCAGCAAATTCACATATTTTGTGGAAGTAACAATCAGTTAACTGTTGAGGACAAAATTCTAAATAATGTGCTTACCTTTCAGAACAGTGATGAGATTTGACAGTAAAATTTAACATAGGTAACCATTTTGTCAATACTCACCTTCAGCTTTTTAGCTAAAGGAACTTGCTTTCTGAGATTTTAAGGACCTTATTTGTTTCAATGTAATTTTTCCTGAAATACACATTGGCACTCACAAGATGGTTAGCTGCAGGTCTCAAAAGTGCAAATATACCCAGAACCCAGGTCAAGGGCTAAGAAATCTTGTACAGTCCAAGCCTGGGTCCCTCTGCCAGGGAAGGACATGGACAGGCCTGCTCCGGATCCTCAGTAGAGATAAGCTAGCCCTGAAAAGCAAGGACTCGATCCTTTTTCTCCTCCAAGGCCAATGTAATATTAGTAATATTGGCAGAACTAAAACATCACTATTGAAAAATCCACAGGTACCAACACCAGCAGCCTGTATCTTATTAAAAAGCCTCAAGTGACTCTCGAATGATACATGAATCATAGAAGGAAGAAAGGCAGTGCTTAATTGTTCGGACCAACTGCTTACGGTGGATTAACAACGCGCATTCTGCTTGTTAAAGAAAGCACTTACACCGACGAGAAAAAGTCCTTCACTGCAGAGGTGCCTGACGTGCACCTCTAGGCTCCACAGGGAGGTTCGCTGCAAGAGCATCCACACACAAGCAGTACTGACGTGAGTTACTTCCAATGCCAACGCCATCTCTGACTGTAAAGCATCCAAGGGGTCTGTCCTACCAAGTGCAATACAAATCCAAGGACTTTCCATCCTTCCCACCCCCCAGAAACTCCTAGGAACAAATGTGGTTTCAGCTTCTGTAAATTCCATCCATGCATTAAGGCACCAGAACTATCCCCCCTTCCAAAATTAAACAGCAACCTGATATGAAAAATAATATTGTCAAAACTGTACGATTTTTTCTGTTAACCATGCACTAAAGATTAAAATAGCCTCTGTAAAAGATATATAATAATATATATGCAATCTCTGAAAACTCTTATGTACAATGGTATCAAATACTTTTCTGCCTTTTGTACACAATAGCCTCTTGCATTTCTGTGCTTCAGCTGTAAGTCCTTTAAACTACTGGTACTCCACATGGAAGTTAAAACTATGTACAAATCAGTGACGCTTGAACCCAAGCTTCCTCACAGCCTCTCCTACCTCTCTTTCCTGTAGAGATTGACACGACAAGAGCTGAGGTAGACAAAGCCTAGATTTTCGGTGCAAACAGCAGTGGCACGCTCCGTTTCCCGGGGAGCTGTCCTGTCAGTGGTGTGGACTCAGGACTGGAGTCACATGCTTTGGGGAAGTGTCCGTTGGAAAGAAGCAAGTGCTGGCTCTCACTGGGGACAGGAGGAAAGGCTGAGGAGGCTTCTGTGAGCTCAGGACTGCCTGGAGTTAACGTAGAGGAAGGCTGGAGGTCTATGGTGTCTGGCTCACACAGCCTTGATAAAGTCCAAGAGGAGGCCCCTAGGAGAAAGCAGAGGGCACGTCAGACCCTCCAGCCTGGCAGTTTATGTTCTCCCTCCATCCCCACCTTCCGCTGGTGACTCAGGAGACAGTGAAAAGTTACCTTGCCCATCTAGAGGTGCCCCTGGCTTTTTCTTCAAGGATGTCAGCATTCTATCGTGGTTACTGGGGTAGAGGGACCCCCTGCAGTTGGTGTGGGACCCATCAATGGTCCCACTGTTCAGCTGATGTGGAGAATGTTCTCGCTCACTCCGACTGGGCTCCTGGCTGCTTAGTGTACCTGGCTGTGTACTGTCTCTGGACACAGGCTGAGGACAGAAGGCTTGTTCCTTGGAGTAACTGTCCATCTCAGTGTTGCAGTCACCGCATACAGCCGGGCCACTGGGCTCTGCGGGGCAGAGCGAGACACGGATTAGAACCATTGCCCTCCCCACGTAAAGAACAGGCTGTTTAACTCCCCTGCTGTGAGGCCAGAGCTTTGCTTACATCAGCTCTGTAAAAACTGTCCTCTCCTTCACGTATGTTCACAGAACAAGGACCGGGCAAATACGAAGCTATTGATGAAGACTGGGTCTTCCGTGTTGAGATGTTTCAGATTAATTTCTTAATCAGAGACTGCAGCCATACTACTGTGACCGCAGAAGAAACATCCCATGTGATCCCATTTGAAAGAGGAACTATGCAGTGTCAAGAGTCTTCTGAACAATCAGAAATTTAGCCTCAAAATAGCCCTGGTGAAAAGGCACTTTTGTTTGGGCCTCATCCTTTATTTAAGTTGCTTATAAATCTAGAAAATTCATGCTCAGGCTCACCATACATACCATAGACACCCTATTCTGGAATTAAAAGAGAGGCAGGCCAGAGCTTCCTGTTTCTATATTGAATATGAAATTGTGGGATAGTCTTACACCTATAATGTGTCTCCCCCTTTCATTTAATGAGTAAGTCAACCCAAATTTTTATTTCAAAAATGAAATACTTTTCCTGAGGGAAGTATCTCATACCCATCTTCTGTGGACCACGCATCCCATCGGCTTTCTCCATCACTTTCCATGGCTCCTTATTATAGCCGACACAGAGCTTTGGCGGCCTACACGTAATGCCATGAGCATCCACCTCTGGAAAGAGGCTGGCATCTCTCGGGCAAATACCTGCAATAGATTCCCACCCAGTTAGAAACGCTGGGCTCACCAGCTCACAGTAAGCCTTATGAAAAGAAAAGGCAAAGCCCCTGGGACAGAGTCATTCTTTCAAATGCTCTTTACAGTGGTGGCTTATTGGGCTAACCAAGAGGTCCAGCAAGGAACATTTTCTAATACTGCCTTCCCCAGGGGCAGGCCTCTGAGCATTCAGAGCCATGTTAATGAACAGTTCTTTGTAAGGGTAAACTTGTCCCAAACAAGGATACAGTCTCCCCCTCTGAAGTAGCTCTCCCTTGGGAGAGCTTTCCAGTATGACAGCCTGGAACACAGCAGACCTGGGCACTTCCCCTATTGAAGGAATGGATTAGTTTCAGGCCCTCTAACGTCCTCTGCAGCTCTTAGGTTAGGCAATCGTACCTTTCCCTGACGAGGAAACACTAAGCCCAGTAGGGCCTGGGGGACGGGGATTGTAAACCTTGCAGAACTTGCAGAGGCTAGGTCCAGAAACACCCAGGAGAAGGCTTGAGTCACGCAGCCTTCTAGTTTAACCAACGTGCTCAATGTACTGCCATGCCCCTGCCCTGGGACGGGGCTGGAGGCCACCTCCAGCTCATGGGGACACAGTCGCATTAGGCAGTGAGGCCTTACCATTGCTCTCAATGTGCCCATTGGCCTGATGGCCACCCTCAGTCCTGACCACAGTTTCCTGTCGGTCAGAAAGGGTCCCCTGAGAAGAAAGGTAGCTCGGAACATCCGGTGGCACGATGGTTTCATCTGCAAGGAGACAGGACAATCAAATACCAGGGGTCCCAGTCCTTTGAGACACATGTTCACTGTCAGGCCCAGACACAGCAGCTGTCAAGGTCGTGCAGAGAGAGAGCATGGGGTCTGCGCACTGGAGAGACCTGCCCAGAACCCGCTTAGTCTTACTCTACACCCAGGTGTAAAAAATGTAGCAATCTGATGTCTTGAGTCCATTAAAGATAGAGAACAGCAATGGGAAGGGACATAACCTAACTGAAGCATGGCCCTGTGAGGTCACTGCACCAACAATCCACCATGTGGCCACAAAGCACGTGCCATAGATGCCTCAGAAAACTGCAGAGTTCATAATGTACCTATATTTGAGAGTATTCGCATTTAACGTTACATTCCTCGAAGTTAGAATGGTGCCAGTGAGACTAAAGCCTCAGCTATCCAGAATGACTCCATATTCCCAAAGGGTCTAGAGTTCTGAATATAATGAAATTCTTTAAAAAGCCTCTGGACCTGGTTTCCTTCACAAACGTCACTGCTATTCTCCTCCCCTGCAAATAAACTCAACCAGCAGTGGCCTAACCTGTGTTAGTGACACTGTACTCCTCACTCTTCTTCCTGGTCTGGTAGATGATGCACACCCACACCAGGGACGTCAGGACAATACTGCACACCACGGCGATGGTGAAGATGCCCACGGTGGTCCCGTCCTTCCTGCAGCCAGGGGTAGGCAAGATGCTCAGCTGGCTGTGAGCTCGCTCTGTGCCCAGGGCGTTGGACATCTCGCAAGTATATCGCCCTGCATCCTCTGCCACCACGTTCTGAACAACGAGCAGCTGGTTGCCGGGGGTAAAGTGGTGCCGCTCCGTGAGACTCAGAGGGTGGTCCCCCTTGAGCCAGGTGATGCGGGGTGGGGGGCTCCCGGTCGCTTTGCACTGGAGAGCCACCGTTTCTCCCACAGATACCACACGGTCTTCCAAGGGAACCACCAAGGACGGGGTTTCTGCAAGAAGTCGGGAGAGATCTTACAGTTATTCTGTGGGCCTCAGTGGCTGTGGATCTCCCTTGTCTTCTGGACAAAGGAAAAGTCGACACGTCAATGAAATGCCATATGGGATCTTTCATCAGATCAGCAAGCTTTTCAGAAAACCTAACACAATGACTAAAGCATTCCCTTTCTGGGGGGTGGCTTCAAAAAGGAGAATGAGCTAACAACTTCTGGCCACAGAATCCCCTGCTGTTCCCACGCTGTCATGTTACAGGCCTGTGTCTCTATTCTTCACCGAGACCACACTCGTCCTGCCCAAATCAGAGGGCAGTACTTATCTAGAGTGTTAGACCTAAGCCCTATGAAGACTCTCTTAATTCACTGGCTATTTTTCTCTTTTTAAAGAGATGGAACCACTTGTTCAAGAAAATCTTAGAACAGGGCCAGCCCAGTTGCATAGTGGTTAAGTTCGTGTACTCTGCTTAGGCAGCCCAGGGTTCAGAGGTTCAGGTCCTGGGCGCGGACCCAGCACTGCTCATCAAGCCACGCTGTGGGGGCGTCCCACATGAGGCAGAGGAAGATTGGCACAGATGTTAGCTCAGAGACAATCTTCCTCACAAAAAAAGAAGAAAACTCCTAGAAAGCAGCCCAAAATTTTAAACAAAGTAGAAACAGCCCACCATACTCCACCCCAGGCTCCACAGAGCAGTCTGAGAAGCTTGCCTCTAGGTACGTATGATATTTTAAGAGAATCTCTCTCTCTCTTTCATACATAAACACACACACATAGACATATATATATACTCAGTGGATAAGAGTCAAACCTAAGACAGTCAGGGTGGCGTTAGCTGAAATGGAGCCGGCCAAGTTCTGGGCGGTACAGCTATAAACCCCCATGTCATCTATTTTCACATCAGTGATGAAAAACACATCGTCGTCTGGCATGACATGCATGCGTCGCTCACGAGCAGCAGGGAAATCTGTGCCTCCATCCTTCTGCCAGGCAATCTGGGGGTTAGGGTGGCCAGTGGCAGCACATTCGAGGCGGGCCATGGTGCCAGTTCGGATGGCGATGTCATGGGGCATTTTGGTGAATGATGGCAACACTGCAAAATATATACATATAGGGTCAAGTTTTTGTAAAGCTAGATGCAAAAAGGCTGGGAAGATCCTCTGGCAAACAGACCTCCCCCACCATGTCTGGGTGTCATTTCACCCCCCAACACCCTTCATGCCAATGTCTGCTGAGAACCACTACTACCACCTTTCAATCAGGAGCAGTTGGCCTCCTAGGGGTGCCTAGCTTCTCGTTGCCACAGGTGGAGCATTTCCAAGAACAAGTCTCTCTTGTTCTTCAACCCAAGCTGGCTATAACCCCCTCAAACATAAAGGTTTTATGAAACATTTCCCCTACTATGCCTTATATGGTCATCATTCTATACAGGGATACTCCATAAATGCTAGGGCCTGATGCTTGCCTGCCTTAAGTAACCACCAGGTAGAGCCTGGGAAACAGAAATGTCTACTCCAGCAAGATGCAATCACAGAGGGAAGGATGACATGCCTTCACCCTGGGGAAGCAATGGGATAGCTCTTCCTCTTGAAGAAGTCTGTTTTAGAACAGTGATGTCAGGGTCATATTACTGTATGCACACGAGCTGAAAGCATTCAGCTAGCTTATTTATCCCAAATATTCCAGGGAATATTGGTAATACAGGAGTAAGCATCCAGCCATATGTCAGGCGTCACTATAATTCCCATCAAGGTTACTTCAGTGGAGAATCAGTTCACTGAGTTTGTGAGAAACAAGGACTACTCCCTCGGAATAAGCCAAGAGAACCCGCCAAAGTGTGGTCAAAAATGTGTTTTTCTGTGGTCTGTAGGGGCTTAAAGAGCATAGCAGTTCCAGCACTTCTTAATTGGAGGTTTAATAATCAGGAAAATCTTGTTAGGTTACTGGGATGGGGTGGTTAACTACTCAAGCTATTTACCTCTCTCCTTCTACTCTAAACTCACTACAACAAATAGCAGGTATGAAGAAAGCCACCTCAAAAGGCTCTGAAGCTGGTTACTGAGTAAAAGATCCTGTCCAACACCCCCATGACCATTCTGCTATCAGGCCAGCACTCACACCAGCCTTGCATTCCACAGCCTCAGAGAGGCAGGCACTTGGCTGCCCCACTGCTGACTGACCTGGCCCACCCAGGCTGGCCTCTGGCCCCAAGGCTCTGCCATCTACTCAGAGGGTAGCACCTTCCCCCAGGATCAAGATATGCTTGGAATCTGATGCCAGGCATCTTGGTTTATGGAAGATAATAAATGGATAAAAATACAAGGCTTGGGCCCACAATTTCAGTTAACATAATAACTGGATTAAAAAAAATCACCAAAAAACAAAGAATCCACTAAGAATAACCCTTCAATCTACAAACTTACTCTGGGGCCAACCCAGGCAGTAGTAAGATATAATGAGGTCTCAGTGAAGCTTGAGTGTCTCCTGTCTCAAGCATGTCTACACAGATAACTGAGAATGATCATGAGTGTGGCTTCATAAGAATCTTATACCAGAATAAACAGATAGCACTTCCATACCATTCACAGTGAGCCTGGCCTTGTGTGAGTAGGTGGAGCCAAAGTGGTTGGTGATGACACATTGGTAGCGGCCCTCATGCCCGAAAGTGACACGACGGAGGTGCAGAATGGTGGTGTATTCCATCACCTCCCCATCCTGTGCACGGACATGGGCGAAATTCTCCATGTCAGCATTGGCCAGGACCTCATTGTCCTTCTTCCAGGCAAAGGTCATAGGGGAGCTGCTGCTGCTGGCGGCTGAGCACGTGAACCGGATGTCCTTTCCCACCACAGCTATGGTCGTCTCTGGCTGGGTGATGATCTGTGGCTTTGGTAAGTCATCTGGGAGGAAGAGAGCCAACTGTAAGTCACCCAGGCTCCTAGGACACACAAGGACCAGCCACTATTCGAGCTAACAAGAAACTGAATCAGACACTGAACAGGGACTAGATCTTGCTGGGTCCCTATGCATCCTCAGCTCCACCAAATACTGTAAGGGACTCATACCATGGATATCTGGCCTTCTCCAAATACAGATCCATGAGCATTGATCACCTCTCTGATTACACTCCTTGATTACCAACAAATTGACCAGTAGTCAGTTATCAAAGCAATCAGCAATTTCCATGAGAAGACTACAATTGGCTTTATTTGCTTACTTCAACACAAAGCACACTTAAAAAGTCCAGAACCACCAGTCATGACTGCCCAGACCTTACCCACAAACTTTACTTCAAAAGAAGTGGGGTGCATAGCACTTCCGTTATGTCAGAATAAGGACTTCTGAAAATCTGCTCCTCCATTACAACAACAGAAAAACTAGCAAAAATGGTCACAGTCAACTTTTTCAGAATTCTGGAAAATAACCAAAGGCTACAACCCATGGAGTGCTGATTCAAGAAAACACCTGAATTTCAGGAAGAAAAGTGATCTTTGTGGCATTTTAACTTACCCTAAGTCACATCCCTCTTTCCCCAGCTCTATGGTATCCTTGGAACCCAACAGCCTAGCAATAATTGAGGGGGCAAAAATGGGTTTGGAGCTCCCCCCAAGCCCCATCCTCAGGGCCTGTATTTATTTGACCTGATACACTTTGCTCAGCAAGGGAAGTCCTATCCCCAGGGTGTTTGACGAAAACGATCAGCAGCCACTGCTGAGGCAGTAGTATCAGTTGGGGCCAAGAAGAGGCTAACCAAAAAACTAAAAAGGAAAATCAGGTGAATGAAATGTCAAAAGTGGGTTTTGAAAAGGTCGAACATATTCCTGAGGGTCTAGAAGGCCACATGCAAGTGCAGGGCTATGTGCATGCCCAGGAAAGACCTGAAGGGTCCGGACTGAGGATCAGTGCAAACGGGAAGTGATGGCACACCTCCAACACACACAGAGACACTTGGGCAAAGGAGAGGAGACTTGATTGGTTGAATTGCTTTAAGGACTCTCTGTTCAGTCATTAGCTAACCACTAAGCTAACCAAGGAGGGGCTTCAGTGGCTGCACAGAAGACACTTAAAAACCTTTGACCAGGGAAGTCACTAAACAAACTGTAACAAATAGAACAATAAACCCTGGGGTAAGACAGAGGGATAATCTGATTTCCAGAGTTGCCGTATTATTTTATTTTAAATGCTCAGTTTTCAATAGAAGCTACAAAACATGCAAAGAAACAGGAAAAAAGCAGTCAAGAGAAACTGTCCTTGAGGAAGCCCAGATCTCGGACCTACTAAAGAAAGACTTTAAATCAGCCTTATAAATATGTTCAAAGAACTAAAGGAAACCATGTCTGAGAAAATTAAAGGAAAGTATGTAAGTAGTTTCTTACCAAATACCAATAAAGAGAGAGAAATTGTAAAAATGAACCACACATAAATTTTGAATTTTAGCAGTATAATAACTGAAATGAAAAATTCATTAGAGGGGCTCAATAGCCAAACTGAGCTGACAGAAGAGAGTAAACTTGAGACAGGTCAATTGATATCATCCAGTCTGAGAAACATAAAGAAAAAAGAATGAGGAAAAATAAACAGAGCCATAGAGACCTGTGGGATAACATCAAACATGATAACATGCAAATAATCGGAGTCCAAGGAGGAGAAGAAAAAAGGAGCAGAAAGAGTATTTGAAGAAATAATGGCCCCAAACTTTCCAAATGCATCTACACATCCAAGAAGCTCAATGAAGTCCAAATAATATAAACTCAAAAGATCCACACCTAGGCTCATCGTAGTCAAGCTGTTAAAAAAGTCAGCACCAATGAATCTTGAAAGCAGCAAGAGAGCAGCAACTCATCACCATACAAGGTATGCTCAATAACAGTAACAGCTGTTCCCTGTCAGAAACCGTGGCGGTCAGAAGGCAGTAGGAAGACATATTTAAAGCACTGAAAGAAAGACTGTCAACTAAGAATTCCATATCTAGCAAAACTATCCTTTCAAAAATGAAGGAGAAGCTGAAACATTCTCAGATTTAAAAACAAAAACAAAAACAAACAACCTGAGACAATTAATTGCTACCAGACCTGCTTTACAAGAAATACTAAAGAGAATCCTTCAGGCTCAAACAAAAGGACATGACAGTAACTCAAATCCACACAAAGAAAGAATGCCATTAAAAGCAACTACATAGGTAAGGATGTAAACAGTATGAATGTATTTTTGTTTGTAATTCTCTTCTACTATGTGATTTAAAAGGCAACTACATAAGTAATAATTACAAAACTGTGTTGATAGGCTTATGATGTATAAAGATGTAATTTGTCTGAAAATAATACGAAAGAGATGAGAATGGAACTAAACAGAAGCAAAATTTTGCACACCATTGAAGTTGATTTCATTATTAATCTGAACTAGAGTGTATTTGGGCTGGCCCCATGGCTGAGTGGTTAAGTTTGCGCACTCCCCTTCGGCAGCCCAGGGTTTTGCTTGTTCGGATCCTGGGCACAGACATGGCACCACTCATCAGGCCACGTTGAGTCGGCATCCCACATGGCACAACTAGAAGGACCCACAGCTAGGATACACAACTCTGTACTGGGGATATTTGGGGAGAAAAAGCAATTAAAAAAAAAAAGTTTGAACTAGAGTGCTTTAAGATGTTAATTATAATCTCCGTGGCAACCACTAAGAAAATACAAAAAAATACTAAGAGAAACAAGGGAATTAAAATGGTATACTAGAAGATATCTATTTAATACAAAATTAGTCAGTAATGGAGAATACAGGAATAAAGATAACACAAGATATCAATAATTACATTAAACATAAATGAATTAAACACTCCAACCAAAAGGCAGGGAATACCATAATGGATTAAAAAACCATGACTCAGCTATATGCTGTCTGCAAGAGACACTTTAGATTCAAAGTCATCAACAGGCAGCCACCAACAGTATTAGACTGTCTCTACTAATATCAGACAAAACAGCCTTTAAGACAGAAGTTGTTACTAAAGATAAAGAATAACATTTTATAATGTTAAATGGTCAATCCCTCAGGAAGACATCAAAATTATAAACATACAGGCACCCAACAGAGCTCCACAAAGCAAGAAGCAAAAACTGACAGACCTGAAGGGAGAAATAGAAAATGCAATAATAATCATTTGTAGTGTTAATAATGGATAGAACAGCTAGGCAGAAGATCAAAAATGAAACAGAAGACTTGAACAACACACCATAAACCAAAAAGACCTAACAGATATCTATGGAACAAGAGAATAAACATTCTTTTGAAGTACACATGGGTCATTCTCAGGATAGACCATGTTAGGCTACAAAACAAATCTCAATAAATTAAAAAAGACAGAAATCATACAAAGTATCTCCAGTGACAGTGGAATGACACTAGAAACCAATGACAAAAGGAATATTGGGAAACTAATTTGTGGAACTTAAACACTGCACTTCTATCAGTCAAAGAAGAAATTACAAGGGAAATTAGAAAATACATTGAGATAAATGAAAATGAAAACACAATATACTTAAAAGCTGCAGCTAAAACAGTGCTTATAGAGAGATTTACAGCTGTAAATGCCTATAGGTCATTATTAAAGAAGATCTCAAATTAATAATCCCACCTTCTACTTTAAGAAATTAGAAAAACAAGCTATACCCAAAGCAAACAGCAAGAAGGAAGTAATAAAGATTAGAGAAAAAGTAAATGAAGGAAAATACAAAAACAGAGAAAATCAATAAAAACAAAAGTTGGTTCTTGGAAAATATCAATAAAATTGAAAACACCTGTAGTTAGACTTGGGCGGTAGGGGGATGGAAGCAGAGGGGAGAAGACTCAAAATACTACAATTTGGAATGAAAGAAGAGACATTACTACCGACCCTATGGCAATAAACAAGAATACTAGGAATAACTGTATGCCCACAAATTAGGTAACCTGTCTGCAATGCACAAATTCTGAAAAAAACATAAACTACCAAAACTGACTCAAGAAGAAATAGAACATCTGAGTAGATGTAACAAATAAAGAGACAATAATTTGAAAACTTCCCAAAAAGAAAAGCCCAGACCCAAATGGCTACTACTGGTGAATTCTACCAAACATTTAAAGAAGGATTATCACTAATCCTTCACAAACGCTTCCAAAAAAATAAATGAGGAGGGAACTTTTCCCAACTCCATTCTATGAGGCAAGTATTACCTGATAACAAACCAAAAAACATTACAAAAAAGGAAGACTACAGACCTTTAAGTATAGATGCAAAAATCCTCAACAAATAAAATAGCAAACTGAATCCCACAACATATAAAAAGGATTATACAGCATAAGTGAGTTGGGTTTATCCCAGGAAAGCAAGGTTGGTTTAAATATCCAAAAATCAATGTATTATACCATATCAATAAAATAAAGGAAAAACTCCCACATGATCACCTTAACAGATGCAGAAAAAGTATCTGATGAAATGCAACAACGTTTCATGATAAAAACATTCAACAAATTAGAAATAGAAGGGAAATTCGTCAACTTGATAAAGGTCATCTATGAAAAAACCCATAGCTAACATCATACTTAATGGTGAATGACAATGCTTTCCCCCTAAGATCAGGAAAAAGACAAGGATTTCTGCTCTCACCACTTCTATTCAACACTGTCCTGGAGGTTCTAGCCAGGGAATTAGGCAAGAAAAATAAATAAAAGACATCTAGATTAGAAAGGAAGAAGTAAAACTACCTTTTTGCAAATGACATGATAATCATATATAAAGAAATTCCTAAGGAATTTACTGAAAAACTATTAGAACTAAAAACAATTTCAACATAGTTGCAGGATACAAGATGAACATATAAAATTCAACTGCAATGAAAATTTTAAAATGAAAATAAGAACAGCACTTAAAATAGCACCAAAAAGAGTAAAAAATACAGGAATAAATTTAACAAAAGCAGTGTAAGACACGCACTGAAAACTACAAAACATTGAAGGAAATTAAAGAAGAGCTACAAAAAAAGGGAAAGACATCCCATGTTCATGGATTGGGAAGACTTAAGATAGCAATACTCTCCAAATTTATCTAGAGTTCAATGCAATCCCTATTTCAAGATCCCAGTTGTCTTTATTGCAGAGATTGACAAGCTGATCCAAAAATGTGTATGGAAAGGCACGGGAACCATAACAGTCCAAACAATCTTCAAAAAGAACAAAATTGGAAGACAACGCATAGGTGTAAATCTTTGTGACCTTGTCTCAAGAATTAGTTTCTTAGATATGACATCAAAAGTATAAATGACAAAAGAAAAAAAAGAGAAATTGGACTTCATCAAAATGGAAAACTTTTGTGCTTCAACTGTCAAAAAAATAAAAAAACAACATACAGATTGAATTTTATGGTATACAAATTATATTTCTCTTCTTAAAAACAGCTTTATTGAAACACAGTTCACCTACAATACAATTCACCTCTTTAAAGTGTACAATTTCATGGTTTTTAGTGTACTCACAAATATGTGCAACCATCATCAGTCAATTTTTAAAACATTTTCATCACCTCAAAAGAAACCCCATACCTTTCAGTTATCACCCCTTCTCCCTCCACCCCTCCCCAGCCCTAAGCAACCACTAATCTACTTTCTACATAGGTTTCTCTATTCTGGCCATTTTATGTGAATGGAATCATATAATATACGGTCTTTTGTGACTGACTTCTTTCACTTAGCAGAAGATTTCAAGGCTCATCTATGTTGTATCGTTGATTCCTTTCTTATGGCCTAACAATATTCCACTCTATGGCTATACCACATTTTATGTATCCATTCATCACTTGATGGGTATTCGGGTTATTTCTACTTTTTAGCTATGATGAGTAATGTTGCTATGAACATTCATGTACAAGTTTTTACGTGGACATGTATTTTCATTTCCCTGGCTGTATACCTAGGAGTGGAATTGCTAGGTCATGCTGTAACTCTATGGCTAATTGTCTGAGAGACTTCCAGACTGTTTTCCAAAGCAGCTACACCAGTTTACATTCCCACCAGCAGTGTAGGCAGCTTTAGATTTCTCCCCATCCTCACCAACACTTGTCATTATCTGAATTTTGATTCTAGCTATCCTTTGGTGGTTGTAAAGTGGTTATATTTAAAGTTTACAAAAAAGGAGTAAGAGGTTCCCATAGGACTTGAACCTTTGAACCCTGATCTTCCACCAAGTGTTTTCATGACTCCCATTAACACTTGATGATTGTTTTAGGGGGAAGCCTGAGCTAAACTGCAGAGGTGGGGGTAAGAGATGTGAAATAAACAATTGCTGCAATCCAGAATGTGCCAGGGCCCCAAGCCAGAGGTTGGGTGCATGTCAAAAGTCCTGCCCAGGCTCATCCAAAGGGAAAGATTATGCCCTATGGCATGAGGGAGGAGGAAGGGGCAGAAAACTCAATTTTAGAGAGCTCTATAAACAACTGAATGGCCAAGGAGCAGGTATTTGATGAACAATGAATTGCACAGCCATTCTGTCCTAGGGAATGGGAGCTATATGCACCCTTACGTTCTACACAGAAGTTCCCCTGAGAGTGATCAGTAAAAAAAGCTCATTTTGGAGGGCTGCTACCACGTTGATAGTGTTTTTAAGGCTTCTTGCTGGACTTGATCAGGAGAAAGGTAGGCAAGCCTGCTCTCAGGAGTGGTGGTGGTGGTGGTGGGTGGATGTGTAGAAGGAAGGCACTTGTTTCTTGACTTCAGCAGACACACTGGCTATTGCTATACCCAAAAAGTAGGACAGAGAAGTGGACCACAGAGGCTTCCATACCACTAAGGCAGCTCCTGGTTAGGCTCTTCTCAGCAGGGATCCCAAGGCTCAGGGCAGACTGGGAGGATAAAAGGCAATAAGGGACTCGCATCTGCACAGCAGTTCCAGTCAGGCCTGCAAATCCCACCCTCACTCCTGCCTAGAGCAGAAGCCAGGAACAACTCGAAATCCATCGCATTCTTTGACCACACCTCACTGACCATGAGGCTGCATCATTCCTATCTGAGCGTGTGTGTGTGTGTATCTGCGTATATGTGTGTCTGCGTACGTGTGTGTATTCAGTGGTTCAGCATTTTCTGTGCTCTTTGCAACCAAACTTGGATCTCAACCATCCCTGGCCAACAAGATGGCAAGAGCTAGGAAGCAACAATCAGAAGGAAATAAGAATTTAAAGCTACAAGTGCAGATTTCAGTGGTTTGGAAACAGCAAGAGTGCAAGTCAACATCAAGGAATTATTTTTACTACAGCAACTGTTCTCCTGAGACTCGTTCTTCCTGTATTTAACCTTTCATTCTTGGGGTTGGAAAGAAACACACATTAAAACCCCAACCTCATACACTGAGTAAATTCACAGCTAAACCCAGGCACCAGAACCCTCTTGAAACAACACAACGATCTTCCTGTAACTGATTATTCTGATTTGTAATTGAACCAACTCGTGCTCCCTTCTGATTAAATGCATGTACTCCGAGAACCACATAATGAGGCGACGGTACCGTAAATGCTGTGTGTGGTTTCAGTGGGAAATAAATTACATCCAGCCGCTGGTTGGTAACCATGGGTTGGGGTTTAACTGTGATCGCAGGAATCACTCCCATAATGAAGAGTTCCTCCTGACCTCCTTGCCCTTCATGGAAAAAAATATCATAAAGACGGTCTTACCACACACGAAACTCTCTGGCGGCACAGAGAAGATGCTCTGGCCCTTCAGTGATTCTGGGTGGGCACAGGTGGCTGTCACAAAGGTCTGCAGCATCCTGCTCAGTAACCATGGGGGCAGCCACTTCAGCTGGCAGTCGCACAGGAAGCTGTCACTGCTGATATGGCTGAAAGAAAAACAAAAGGAACGTTTGAGGATGAGTGACAGCAAAGAAGGGATATTCCCTCAGAAGACAGAACCGTCAGTCGCCTCCAGTCAGCTTCTGTCGTTCACACCAGCAGGCTGCAATGGGAAATAATTTTTCTCACAGTTCCTCTCCAATGACCCAGAGGAAGACATAGAGTCTACCTTGAGATTCTGATAAAACGCAGCTTCTAGCTCGACAGGTTAGGGGTGGAACCCAAGATTCTGCATTTCTGACAAGCTTTCAGGTGATGCTGACACCGCTGGGTCTAAGGACCACGCTTGGAGCAGCAACAACCTAGAGTTCACACATGTTCTAAGACAGACACTGCTCTTACGTGACCTGGGGATGCCGCTGACTTCTTCAAGCCTCTGCCCATCCAATAGAGATGAGTAGCACTGTTCCCCTTCTGCTTTTCCCACTCTCCTGATAAGCTACTTGGAACTTCCAAACTCAATCTGAGACTTTGATCTAAATTCTGAAACAAGTTCTGGGAAGGGCTTTTTTCTGTATGGCAGTTATTTTTTTATTTGGCAAAGCTGCCTATTTTCTTACTTCCAAATGGAAGACTGGCCAACATGCTTCCCTCTTGTTTGTGTATTTCTCTCTACACCAGCGCTATTCAGGAGGCCGGCAGAATTCAGCCCGCTCCCTAAATAGTGCGTGTTAGTTAATTGCCACTGCCCAGGGAGCATGAGAATGCACAACTTTGGTTTTGTGAGGCTCCAACCAAAACAGAGAATATTTTCTTTTTCATTTCTCAGCAGCTGAGGATCTGCTTTTTAAACAGAAATCAGAACTGCCGTCTCAGCGGACATTCCTTCCTGAGGAGTCACTCGAAGATAAGTTAAGCGAAGAGTCTAGCTGCCCTGTTCCTGGAAGACTTTAAGGCCATGAACTAAAGAACGGAGGCCAGCCCGTGACAAGGATGAAGACGGAGAAAGAAGACACACGGAATTCCCTGTAATAAACTCTCTCTGCAATGCGGGGACAAAAAGGAGGTGCGGTATGCCTAGAAATTCCAAAATGGCAGGTGGGCCAATATTATAGCAACGGCCTCCTTCTCCAGACACCGTTTTCCTCAGACATCAACTAAACAAACCAAATGGATTGGTTTTCCGTTTTCTTCTATTTCACTCTGGCCTTCTAATGAGCTGAGAAACTGTCAAACTAGTAAACAGCAAGGAAGAATGAAATTGAAGCCAGAAAACCTAAATGGCTGACTGAATTACGTAAAATCGACTCCTCCCTGTTCCTCATTGTTCCCAGATTAGTTAGGCACATTAACTTCCTAAAAGAGTTTTGGGAGGTGCTTTTTCAAAGACTGAAATAATTATCTCAAAGCCATTATAACTGGGATGCTTGCCCATATTGGACCTTTCAGTCAGCATTAGATTTTGTATTTTTATTTGATGGGCAGGTAGCTCTGTGCCTAGAGCCATGCAGAGGGCTATTCTGATGAGGAGTTACTGCAGGGGGTGGAAGGGCTCTCACGGCTAGCCATGAGGAAATGGCTGGTTCCTGCTCAGCATGTGGGGAGCTTCCCAGGATGGGCTGTTTATGGTGGTTGGATAGACTGCCGCCAGACACTGGAAAACTCATCAGCCTGCTGAAGAGCAGAAAGGAGCTCTCCCACTATCAGAAGCCCCGACAGCTTCCATCAAGGGGATCCTGGCATTACTGCCCCTGTCTGTGTACTCAGCAGGAAGGCATGGGTACTACACATGCAAGTCTAGAGGAAGATAGGGGGCCATCACTGTGAGTCGTTAGGCACTGAAGTGGTTGACAGGGACATGTCTTATTTGAGCCACAGGAACAGATTGGAGAAAACAAATTTGACATTTATCCTAGATCAGAAATGTGTGTGGAAAGAGTTAAGCCTCATACCACATATTCAGTGTATTTTGGGGGCCTGCCTCCCTTGAGAATTTCCTACCTCCTCTACAGTGAAAGCCACCTCAAACAGAGGAGTCCAGACCTCAGAAGACAGTGGGTCCTTGAGGTGGAGAGAAGGCTTTCCTGAAGGATGAGTTAAGACCAACAGGACGACAGATGGAGAGGAAATGGAACCTGACGGCGAGGACACTGACCTGCTGACCTCCCCTCCACACACACATTCTTTTAAAGACAAAGTCTAGGTTGACAGACTGGATAGGCGGATTGCCAGCACCTCCAAGGCTCTGCCGACTCCTGCTGCTCTTCCTGCACCAATTAAAAGTGCAGCCTCGTCAACTGCGAACAGCACGGCCTTCCACGGCTCCTGCCTCCAGCCATCCAGGCACTCTGCTGGCTTACATTGTGCATTTTCATGATTCCAGCTCAAAGTGTGTTTCTAATCATCTCTTGTGGAAATTTACCCAGAGGATGACTAAGTGCACAGTACAACCTGCCTTCATCTGATGGGGAAAGAAAAAGACCAAGTGGAATTAACTGTTTCTCCCATCAGAGGACTGGGCCCAGGGCCAGCCAGAGCTGGGTACATGCAGCCACTGATGGGAAACCCAGGCAGGGGGCCAAGGCAGAAGCATTTTGGGGAGGTCCAAGCACCTGCAAGGGTCCAGTTATTTCCAGCTAGAAAACTGTCTCAGGAAACCTGAATTTTTAGAAGGAAAATCTCCTCTCCCTTGTCCTTCCCTCTTTCTCTCAAAATACCCTCTTCCCATTTAATCAGATTTTTACTTCCAATATTATATTTGAAAAGTTTCAAAAGCAGTAGTGTTGAAAGAAAGGCACAGGGAACACTCACGTACTCACCAGTTTTAAGAAAGAGCATCTACTTGACAGACTTGAATCTCACAGCAAACTAAATGTCATGAGGCAAGTGCCCACACCGCCTCCCCTCCCCTCACTTAGCCCGAGGAAGGTCACCAGGGACCTGCTTCTTGCTCTGGTTTCCAACTGTGGGGACTGCATGCCTATTTCCCCATTCCTACCCCACCCCGCATCCATCTAGGGTCCACCAGGAGTGGCCTCAGGAATGAGGATGAGGTCAGGGTGCAAAGATGGCCATCATTTGGCATCTGCCATTTTGCCAGCACTTGTAAGAACCAAAAGCCAGACCTTTAGGGAACTCATATTATGGCTAGGACTTATTGGCTACAGAATTGGATGAATGTATAGGAAGGAGAAAGGAAACTTGGGTGTTGCTACCTGAATACCTAGACTGGGTCCTCTGCCACAAACTGGGACACAGGTAAGCTCTGCTAACCCTTGTCATCCAAGGGCCCATGGTGAACGACTACAGTGGCAGCACCACCACCTATGAACTACTACAGGGGCTTGGAAACAGATGTGGGCTGGGCACCGCTTCACTATTCTATAGTTAGCTGTGACCATCCCACAGACCTCTCTGCCCCGCTCACAGCCCACCAAGCTCCTTAAAGAAGCCTCTGTCGATATAAGCCCTTCCTTTTAAGCAAACCCAAAAGATGAAAACTTGTCCTTGACATAAATAAAGGGATGATGATTCATTTTATGGAAGAGAGCCTATTTCACATCGTCTAGAACAATGGTCAGCAGACTACAGCCTGCAGGCCCACTGCCTGTTTTTGTAAATAAGAATTTATTGGCAAACAGCCACACTCGTTCGTTTATGTATTATTTATGGCTGCTTTCTGCTACAACAGAGTCGAGTTGTCATGACAGAGACACTATGGCCAACAAAGTTGGAAATATTTACTACATGGCCATTTACGAAAAAGTGTGCTGACCTCTGATCCTGAATAAGCCCTCATAGGGCATTTGTTTTAAAAGACATCTTACACACAACTATAAGCGGTCACCGCTGTCTCATAAAGTAAGGCATGATGCAATTAAGGCATTGCTTACTCTGAATTTCTCTACTCATGTTAATCAGAGCCACGAAATCCCAGGTACTTACAGCTCTTTAAGATTCTTCATCTTCACAAAGGCATCAAACTGGACAGATCTAATTGCATTCTCACCAAGATTCCTGCAAAAGAGCATTCTTTACTTATGCAAAGAGAAACTCCAGGTACTCAAATCAGCCACGTGTTTGAGCCAAAAGGCTCAGGGATTTTTCAGAGCAGCCTTGGTTTTGTCAATGAACCACAGGTACTAGCCAGGCCCCCGTATCCTGTCCTAATTCCACTGTAAGTGGCTATCGTTTCACATATGTTGACACAAGCACAGGGAGTAACTCTGCAACTAAAGCCAGCCTTAAGGGCAGCATCAAAGCTAAGTCAAAGCCTGCTCAGCAAGTCAACAGGCAAACCTTTCCCCAAGAATTAAGGTCAAACTTCATTCAAAGACAAAATAAACTAGGAATCAAGTACTAGAGGCATCCGCCCCCGATGGTGACAATATGAACATCTCAGGGCTGGCTCCATCCACGTCCTCCCAGGCTCTCAGATGCGACCACACCAGAGGAAACCTCCAGCTAAGCCCAACATGTCCTTAGCACCGTTAAGATGCTTTAGTGGAGGTATCAGCCTAGGTCAGGATAAAGCACCCTTGTGGAAGTGGAGAGGGGACCAGGGGCCTGCGATGGTTGAGGCAGGGCGGGAGGAGGGAGGAGGGTATTTATCCAAATACCAATTGCATTAGTTGGGAGCTCAGTGACTGGCCATATGTTCTGTAACTGTTCCTGGCATGGGCAGAATAAAGGCCAAAGTTGAAGCTGACTTATAATGAGAAGGAAGCAGCTGGCGTTTCCAAATAGCCTGTTTCTCGGTTTACAAAGATGCGATTAAATTGCTAGCAGACTTCCCCGGCAGCCACATTTGGCAGGCCTGCGGGTCAGGGAAGGTCTGGCAAGATACTCACAGGTGCTCCAGGCCTTCCAGCCCTGAGAATGCTCTCTTAGCCACGGACTTGATCTTGTTTCCAAACAGAGTTCTGCAGTTTCCAAACATCCAGAAACAGGAGGGGAAAAAACCCAAAAAACAGAGGAGGGCGGGGAGAGACAAGGGAGGGTTGGGAGAAAGAGAACACACAATTAGGGTGGTGCCATCTGATAAGTCTGTCTAGTGAGAGGCAGGTGGAAATCCGACCTGTGCTGAGATCATGGGTCTGAAGTATGCAGGCATTCCCCTCTCTGCAATGAAATACTTTTATCTTGATTAGAATTTAACGGTGATGACAGGTCGGAATTGCACGCACCATCTTGCCTAAAAAGGCCCCTCGCAACGTTAAGTGGGAATCACCTTGTCCGGCCGGGGCTGTCTCTCTCCAAGGACCACCCAAGGGTCGGGGGGGCTGAAGTTTAGCGATGGCCTCGTGGGAGAGAGGACTGATCAGTGCTTCAGGGCGAGGAAGCAGAGTCAGAGAAGGGAATGAAAACTCTGGAACTAAAAACTACCACCCACTTCTGAAAACTGCTTCCAGGGATAAAGATTCCCGAAGTGAGCAAGAAGAGGGCAGGAAAACAGGCATCCATTGAGAGGATTCCCAGGCTCTTTGCATCCTGGCACCAGGATGCAGCCACAGTGCACTGTGTCCCTGCCCACAAGAAGGCCCCACAGCCTGCAGGGCACACCACAGCGCTTTGGTCTCTGTAGCAAGAGCCCAGATTTTAAATGATGCCAGTGGGCCCAAAGTTCATTAAATCCCAGATAGGTCCTCAAAAGTCAATTTCCAAGGTCATCTAATGTCTGTACCCATGGTCTGCCTACCCAGGAGAAGGGGCTCCTGCTTCCAGGCAATTCCAATCACAACCTTAGCACTAACTGCTAAGAGTTTTCTCAGCAACCCAAATCTGGCCCCCTGCAATACACATGGGAGAAAGGAAAGCTTCTTCCACTGGGCTGTGTAATCCACAGGAAAGTCTGTTTCTGGACGGGGCGGGGGAGGACACCTAGAGTATGCTTGACATTGGTAATGAAAGAATCAAGATTCCAGTTTTCCCTCCTCATTATCAGATGCTCTGATGAGAGCCCACCAAGGCAGTCCCTCTAACTCCTGCAGGCACAGGAGGCTGCCTGCCAGTGAACACCCGAGGGCAGTGCTGGTGGATATGTGGGCTCTTCAACTCTGATATCCATCAGGATTACCTGTAGGGCTTGTTAAGACCGTGGGCTGCTCAGAGCCACTTCCTGGGAAGTCTCAGAATCGCCAGGTCTGGGTGAGGGACTCCTAGGCAACAGGTGCAGGTGGCCTTTGGAGAAAGTAGGTCTGGTTCAGCCCCTCCCCAGGAGGGGCAACTCCTTGTCTCGGATCCCACCGAGAATCAGGGGAAAGCTCTACCTTCAGACCTGCGTTAAGACTGGGACCAACAAGGGAGAACAGCAAGCACCAGCCCCTCCCTGAAAGGAGGAAAGAAAGGAAATATGAGCCTTGAAGAAAACCAAAGATGGCAGGGCAGCCTGGGCATCACCCGCCACATGGGCCCCGAGCTTTGACCTAACTGCAAAGGGCTCTTGGGGCCACCGAGGCGAGTCCCAGGAGGCTGCCTTCAGGAAGACGGGATCACCGCGGACCAGACCAGCCAGCGCCAGGAGCCACAGAGGAGGCCCCTTCTCAACCTGCTCCCCGGGCACTGCAAGCCCGAGGGGACACTCTGGGGGCAGCCACACCACAGGGTCTTCCTGATCCCCTCCCACTTCATCAGGAATGGACCCCCACTCGGGTCCTCATTTCAGCAGCCCCACAGAAACTCTGAGTTCAGCCTTCAGACAAAGCCAGCTCTGTCTCCTGCCTCCCGAGGGTGAAGGGGCACAGAGGCCAAAGACCCCTCTGCCTTTTCTTTCTCTCGGAGGCGGTCTGCATGGATAAGAAAACAATCTCATCCTGAACATTTCCACAACCTCTCTCAAACTGAAGCTTTTATTCTAAAACAAATAAACCAAACACATGGAAACCTGGTGGCCACGCTGACTTGGGCTCCCTCCCTACAGAATGAGCACGTGGGGCCCTGAGGCCCCCCTCAGATGCCCAGGCCGAGTCACTGTGGGCTCCAGGTCTGAGGAAACGTACTGAACTGTTTAGTGAAATCTCCCGTAAACGAGATCCAGGAAAAAGCTGTGCTTTATTTCGTCCATTAACTATTAGTCACACTGACCTCTTTTACAACGAGGGCAGGCTGTTGTTTCTGATGGTGACAAAAGCAATAAAACAAATTCTCAATTATGCAGGGGCTAATCATGCTGTTGGTGGATTAAAACAGGTCCTGGCATTCTCCCAGTGGACACCTGGGGCTGGGGCCGGGGCTCAAGCAGGGAGACTGTGACGGCTCCAACGAAAGGCTGCTGCGTGGAGAGAGGAGAGCTGGGACGACAGGCCAGGAGGATGTCGTTCTGGCCACACAACAGTGGGCAGCTCAGACTGGCTGCACCGGATCCAGGGCTGCCCTAGAAGGGACAGCAGGCCTCATCTCCCGAATACCACCTGCTTGGAGCTGACAGTGACCCCAGAAAGTCACCTCTCAGATCCTCTCAGCAGCCTGGGAAGCCCAGCCAAGAGCTCCCAGAGGCTCTTGCTAAAGCAGCCTTGCAATCACGGGGCTGAGGGGGGTCCCTGGACAGACTGAGAGTAGCCGTGCCACCTACACCCCTCTTCCCCCTCCCCACCCCTTGTCAATGACCCTGTGGGCTGCCCTCACTCTGTGAAGATCAGAGGGGGCAGTCTTCCCCTGGCTGCGGGGCAGCACCTCCCCGGGCCCACTCCATCTTGCAGGAATCGAGGCTCAGCCTCATAATCCAATTTTGCACATGTCCCCAACACTCCCCTGCACACATGCCACCCCTGTCTAATTCCACACCCACCCCTACCAAGGAATGCGAGCAGCAAGCTGGGACCGTGGGGCCGGCACTTGCGTCCCTCACCGTACCCAAGCGGCCCACTGCTCCTCTCTGCCACTAATTTGTGCTCCAGAAATTCTCCCTTCCCTCCTCACGTGCGATGACACTGTGCAAGCCCGTGGGTAGGTGAGTATAATCATCACAGGCAAACTAGCAAGAAAGGAACTCGCTAGAGTCTAGGAATGTTCTCGCCTTGCCAGGAAGCTCCTGTCTGAAGAATTATCCAAAATGGCTGCGTTCAGCAGCTGGAAAAATTAGGGGCAGGCAACATCCACCCAATCTTCACAGGAGGAAGCCTTTTACGGCTATGCTGCTCACTTGTTCCTTTCTCAGAAAACATTTTCATTTAGGCCCAGCCACTTGCATGGCGGGAAGGACCCCAGGTTCTTGAGGAACTGAGTGAAGCCCAGAGAGTGTCTCCCTTCCCATTCTCAGGTGGATCCCTAACACCATCCCTCAAGGGCTTCAAAGGCGAACCCGCGCCAGGCCAGGGGGACTCAGGGCACTGACTGCAGCCCCATAGGATGAATGAGCTGATGACATGACACGACAGCCCTTCTCTATGCTAACACACTCCTACCCGCCTCCCGTTCCCCAGCCCGGCCGGACACCGGTGATACAAATCACAGGCATCACACTGTTGTCTTTTTTTATCCCAGAAGAAGAGGATTCTTTGTTTTCTTTTGCAATATAACCACCATACCATCCCACCTCAATAACTGACTGCACATATTTAATGATGTTAAGAAATTATTGTTGTTCCAATTTCCCCCAACTGTGTGCATCTCTCTGTTTTTAGAAACATGTACAGAGCTTCCAGCCCCACAATGCTGATCAGTGAGGCCAGGTGGGAGGAGGCCAGAGACTCTATATTTTAACAAGTTCCCTGGAGTCTCAGGCCCAGCTCAGAGTGGAGCCCACTGCTTTCAGGGAGACTGTCAAACAGCACAGTGCAAGCGAGGAACACGGGGCTCATGCTGACTCCTTGGGACTTCAGATAGAACCGCTGAACTTAGTCCAGCAGGTCGAAGTAGGAGAAAACGTCGGGGCACAGGCAGCAGACAATTCAGAAGGTGGCACCAGGCTACAGTCACAGGCTGGCTTCTGCGGAACCAGCAGTCCTGGCGCCCCCGAGGGCCAGCCGCACTTCACATGGTGAGGAAAAACCTCCTGGAAGCCACAAGACCTAATGGCTCCAGATTTCACTGGAGGGACATGCCCTGCAAAGGACCCAGTGGTGCGTCCACTGTCCCCACCCTGCCCTACCCATGAGTTACGGCTGGGGCCGGGGAAGGCATCGACTAGCAAGGCTTGTGCTGAAAGGCTGCTCAGGTGCGCTCCGCCCCAGCAACCGCACGCCAAGCCGGGGCTCCTCCGGTCAGTGGGGGCCCATGCCTGCCCCCCGTGCTGTCCTGGCTCCTCCCGAGCTTGCTGGGAAAAGGCACCAGGAGGTGAGGGAGCAGGGAGCGTTTTGTTAGGGAACAAAATGAAAGACTGACAGGCATTTTTGACATGCTATCGGGAGGCCCCAGAAGAGACACAATCCTCAGAGAGCCAAAATACCTTATTCTGACTCAGAACTCTCTGAGTATAAAAGGTGTGAAAACCCCACTTTTCAAAACAAATTAGAAACATGACCTGTACAGAAAGACTCTCCCCACCACAGGCTTTCCGGCTTTCTCTGAGCCGCGTGCTCTGCAGCTGCTTTCAAAATATTTACACACGCACTCTGCCCAGCTCACTGTCACCAGAACGGACTCGGGAAGTGGAGGGGTGACTGTCTTCTCCTCCTCTGAACCCTCCCTCTGAGTTGCTGGTAAGCAGTAACAATCGCTCCAGTCCCCACTCCCGTATGTTCCTTGGGTGGCAGCTGCAGAAAGTGCTGGAGAGATGCAGAGAGAAAGAGGGCAGGACAACACGTGGGAGACAGGCAAGTCCTGACCCTGCCACCTGCCAGCTGTGTGGTCTTGGGAAAAATCCCCGCTCCTCTGTTTCCTCAACTCCAAAAAGGCTGGATACCACAGCCTGCCCCCACGAGACCATTAGATATAACACACACGCGCACACCTGGCAGAATAACTGGCAAATTCTAGGAGCTTCAAAAACACAGAACAAAAACACCAGAAATCTGTAATAAAAAACAGCTACCACCTTACCTTTGGTAATGATTGTTTCTAAGATTATGATTGACAACAAAAACACTGACCGAAGATGCAAAACCATCAAGAGTTACTCAGCTTTAGACACTTCACACAATTTCTAGAAACTGAGTAAGAAGGCAAGACTCCTTTGTGCAAAGAACAACAAAAAAATGTGGCTGTTTTCATGTCAGTCACGAACTCAAGGGGAGAGAATATCCAACAGGCCTCCAGACAACAGGTCTTCAGCCCCAAAGAAACCAATGCCCAGGGCAGCAAGGAGACCACTGGCCAGAGAGAAGATGTGCTGCCTCCCGCTCCTTATCCAGACTTTTCTTCCCAAACAAAGGCAGAGAAATGCGAGCCAGCCCTCCCCAGGCTGGGCCCAGAAGAAAAGGGGCGGGGAGCCGCAGAACCATCTTCTGTGTTCGTGCTCCACAGAGCTTCCAACCCCGGGATACTCACAGCTTGCTGAGGCTGTCAAGCCCTGTGAAAGCACCAGTGGTGTCCTCTATGGTGCCCGAAATGTCGTTATGGTCCAGATCCCTGGGGAGAAGACAGACAAAGCTCACCATCGGTCTCAGTTCTCAACTCATTCTTCAACATGAAGTGGGAGAGCAGACTGACACCCAATCTGCCACCTTGAAGCTCAAAAAACACCTGGGTGTATTCTAGCTGCCCAGCCGTAAGGTACAGTGAAGAGAAGCGTGACCACTGAGCCCCGGGAAGCCCAGCTGTGCACACCTTGCAGTGGGCCCTGCTTTCTCAGTTGTCTCGCAAAGCTGACACACGCCTCAAACAGGCAGTTTCCCTGGCCCCATCTGCTGCTCCCTAGTCTGCTAAGGCCGGGCCCCAGGGAGGGTGGGGGTGCAGACAGTCCTCGGAAAAGCCTGCTTTGTATTCTGTCCCCAAAGAGAGGACATCTGGCTGCTGGCACTGAGAGTCAGCCCAAAAGGTTCCTTAAGGTTCGTGTCTGCTCTCACACCCACCAGAGCCCCTTTCCTGGACTTGACTGAGAAACAAGAGGCATGTGGAGGAAAGGGATGGCAAATAACGAGGCTTTGGCACAGGGGCCACTTTGATGCTGGCATGTGGGTTTGCAGCCCTGAGCCCCCATCTCCTCACACGGCCTGCACAGGCGCTGACTCTGAGCCAGGGACGACATCTGGGTGCTGAGTCAGACTTGTGGCCCACTTGCCAGTAGGGGAGGATAAAGCCAACTTTTGAGCCCAGTCTCCTCCAACAATGCAAATCACAAGGCCGGTGACTCAGCTTCCTCCCCCAGCTTCCAAGGACAGGTCATAGTGCCAGGCGAAACATCCCACCTGGTGACCTGGCCCCCATCTGCCACACGGTCAGCCCTCTCCAACTTTCCACAAGGTTCTTGGTTCCTACACCTCCCTCTCCCAGGTCCTTGCAGACGTGGGCCAGGAACAGAAAGGGATGCTATGCTTGGCTCCCATGAGAGCCTTCAGAAGGAACCGACATTGCCAGCAGGGAGGGGAGCTCTGACTGCAAACTGAAATGCTTGCTCTGACCTTTATTTTACAGCAGGAAGCTCAAGGAGCCGAGATTCAGCTGCTGGAAGGGACCTCTCCTTTCACTGGGTTCCTCCTTGTTGTCTTCACACTGAAGGACCAGGGACCTGGGGCTGCGGCTTTGTGTGCCTGTCTCCCTGCTCCTGGCCCTGGCTGCCAAAGTTGTCCTCCTCTTTCTGGCACACTCAGTCTGAATGTTCCCAGCCTTGTTCTTCAGGCCCGCGCAGGCTCCAAGGCCGACCTCAGCTTGAATAGCCTGGCGTCCGGGCTCTTTCACACTCCCCAACAATGGCACAGCATCAAAGCCCCCTCTGCCCTCTCCTCCAGGTGCAAGTGCAGAGGCTTCATCCTTTCCACCCTGGGAGAGCTCGTCTCTCTGCAGCGGGGAATGCCTGGGAAGGAGGCCTCGAACTCACTACCACTGCCTGGTGGAAACGATATGCCCCTCTTTGGGGGCTTTATGCTCATAGTTGACTGGACGTTTTCGGACGCCAACAACTGAAAAATTTTCCTTTTTTTTTTGGTGAGGAAAATTGTCCCTGAGTTAACATCTGTGCCAATCTTCCTCTGTTGTGTATGTGGGTTACTACCACAGCATGGCTGGATGAGAGTGTGTAGGTCTGTGCCCAGGATCTGAAGCTGTGAACCCTGGAGCCACTGAAGCAGAGCACGTGAACTTAATTAACCACTATGCCACCGGGCTGGCCCCAACAACTGAAAAATGTGAAGTCCCAGAAAAGCATCCTGCAGCAACTTCTGGCAACCCCACCTAACTAGGAACTTACAGGGAAATGACATTATCACCTCCATTTTGTTAAATGACTCCCAGTGAGGCTCCAGGAAGGACACAGGACTCCCTAATTACCTTTCTCTTGGACATGGGCTGTGCTGAAGAAGTTCAAATGCTGGCCCTGAGAGATAAGCCTCAGTATTCCCTTGGCTCAGATAAAAAATACTTAGGATCTAACAACAGAAGTCCTAGCAGGCAGGCTCAGGGTCGGAAAGACCGACCCCACGGCTGCCACCCTGGAGGCCGCTCCAGCACTCGGCCTGGGGACACTTCCCAAGGAGTCCGCTAAGCGCAATGCGGGAAGTACCACTCCCATAACAAGAAGTTTCTCTGAGCCATCATCACTCTAGAGGCGCCCTCCTGAGGGGAGTGAGCGAGATTTTTCTGCCCGATCACTTCTTTTCCAGTTGATCATATGGAAGTTTGAGACTGCTAACAGGTCAGCTTTGGATCCCATTCTGACTCAAAGCCAAGGCTAAGGGAACTCAACAAAGCCGGTGGATGGCTCTGCTCTGCTCTCCCCGCGGGGGCCCCTTCACTCCGTCAGCCTCACAGTGAAAGACGTACAAGACGCGCAGGTTTTTGAGTCCCTTGAAGGCGCCTTCTGCGATGTGGCTGATGGAATTGTGGCTGAGGCGCAGGATGCTCAAGCTACTCAGGTCGGCCAGGCTCTCCTCATCCAGCCGGGTGAGATTGTTGAAGGACAGAATCCTGAGAAAGGGCAGAGGAAAGCAAAGGTCACCATCAGGTCACATGGGGTTGCCTAACTCTCTACTGAACGTTGAGCCACGGTCAGCAGGGTCTCAGTGGGACAGGACACTCACAGGCCCACAAGAATCCCGAGGCCAGAAGTGGTCACACAGCCAAACCCATCAGAGCCTGACAGCCATATAGTTTGACTCCTATGGAATGTTCCTGGAGGTCCCAGGGACTAAGCAAGGTGATACAGCACAAAAACCCTCAGGCTCCAGCCCCTTTCTGCTGGTGTCCATGGCTGGCCCTGCTTCAGGCTATAAAAGACCTCTCAGACAGTGGCCTGAGACTGGACAGGAGGTTCTGACAGGGAGCAAGGGAGCCCAGATAGACTCCCGACATTGGCCAGCAGAGGGCACCACGAGCCACTGCCTGGAGGAAGCCTTGCTCACAGGAGGTTACACCTGACCTGCACTGTGCCCCAGGGCCTGGAGTCTCCCATCAGAGCTTCCCTGACCCCGCCCAAGCCAGCCTGTTCACATGATGCCCTCCCGTAAGCAGGACAGGAAACGTGCCCCCAGATCATACACCTTCCCTGATGATCAGAACCAAACCTTCTTCCTCCCAGCACACCTCCTGAACCTCTGACACGGCACGGCCCTGGGTTGGTTACTTGACAGATTAGTCATCTATCATTGAAAAATGGGAAGTTTGGGTTGAGGCAGGAAGAAGGAAAATAAATTGGGAGAAGATTAATGAGTTTTTAAAGGCAGCAGGGAATAACATTCTTTCCCTCCTGGAGAAATAAGTCATGGTGTCAGTCGCAGAGGCCTGGCAGGAGACCAAAATTACACCCTCACCTGCAATTAAAGAACTTAGCTTAAAGGAGGGGCAGGGCATACACGCTGGGAAGCAGTCCCAAATCTGGCTCCGAGGTTACCTGGATGTCGGGCAAACTGCTATGCTGGTCAAGGCATGCTTCTGTGACCTTCTCTGCCCCTTCTAAAGGGCACAGAAGACAGTGTCACGCTGCCCACCTGCCAGAGAGGGGCCTCGGGAGCGTGCCTTTCACTGCTGCCTCCACATCAGGGGCTCGCAGCCCCTCCGGTGACTCAGAGCACTGCTCCTCCCCTTAGTCATCGCACTGGCTCAGGCTTGGGGGACTGAGAAGACCTCTCGTACTTCCCCACTGCTCCCAGGCCTGCACGACAGAAAACCATGGGTCCTGGGAGTTCCCGAGGCAGGTCAGAGCCTGAGCAAAGAGTGTGTCAGAAGCCATCCAACACCAGAAGAGAATACCGTGCAAGGACACTGCCCTGAAGGGTGAGGAAGCTAAATCCAAAGGGTTCACACCAACACACACACACACTCACAAAACCCAAGGAAAGGGAGCCCAAGGAAAGGGGCAGGACCACTGCTGTTTGCATTAGATAAGGATGGACTCGCTGAAATACAGACTGCAGTCAGTGTGGGGTGGTGGGCAAGGGAGAGAGGCGAGGAGAGGGAGAACACGGAAGAACAGATAAAATCACCAGCCGCAAGACTCAACACTGAGTTTAAACATCCCCAAGTGAGCCTGGTGAGGCCAAGAGGGAGCCAGGGTGCACAGAGGCTGGGCACTCTTAACGATCGTTCACATCAGTGCGTCAGTCTTTTCCTATAGTCAAGCCTCGGGAAAAAGAAAACGCACCCAAATTCCTCTCAAAAAAATTAAACATACGTAATGGACTAACCTAGAACTGACAAACCTTCAGCACATTAAACGGAAACAGCAAACATGGTGGGGATCTACTTTTTTCCTTCAAAACAACCAACCTTCTGGACATGGGACAGAGACAAGGGCACATGGATATGTCTGCTGAGTCCCTGGCAAGGCTGCTTTCATTATCAGTGACCCACCCCGATGTGGCAGGACAGCCCAGGCCCGGCCCTTCAGCACCCAGGAGAGAGCCTGTCACTACTGGTGTCGGGAACCACGGGCACCAGCTCAGAAGACCCCCGTCCCAGCTATCCGGGAATCTCCGTAAGGGAAGTGTAAACACACATCCACATCAGCACAGGAGCCTCGTCGCCAGGCCCCGGGAATGCAGGGTGGGGAAAAGGAGGAGCCAAGTGCCCGGCAGAACTACGAGGACATGTAAATTCTCCCACTGTCATGTGTCATCTCTCGGGTTCGCTGTCCTTTGTGTGTTTGAGCCCAAATAACCCCTTTCACTAAAGAAGCGCATGCTACTTGGGGTAGCCATTAACGTACAGTCGCTCTCCGAACAGTTGCAGGGAGAACACTTCTGTAGGCTGCCCCTCTACAAGAGAGCACTCTACCTTGGGAACTTTCTCTAAGGCCAAGAAGCCCCTGGGGGTAAGGGCTCCCTGCAGGGACCTAGAGCTACCCTTGCACCGCCGCTAATCTGAAAGCAGGGGACGGGGACACAGAGAGGAGACCAGGAAGGAGCAAAGCTCAGATCACTGAGGTGTGCTGGGCCCCAGGGCCCTGCTCGGGGCCTGCCTGGCTGGGTTCTGCTTCCCTCCACACCAGGCCACTGCGTGCCTCTGAGCACCCTCCCCCGGAGGCCTCCTCAGGTCCACTGTGCTGGGGAATGCGCCAGCCTAGGGCTTCCTGGGCTCTGGAGTATTCACGGACAGGTAGAGGACACTTACAACTCGTGCAGCTTCTGGCAGAAGCTCCAGCCGTCGCGGTTAATGCGAGAGATGGAGTTGTTGCTGAGGTGGAGCTGGTGCAGGGCCGTGAGCCCATAGAGCGAGCCGCTGTTCACTTCCACCAGGCTGTTGTACTCCAGGTGCCTGCAACGACAGCCCCAGGCAGGGTGAGGACAGACTCTCCCCGAGGTGCCCATTGACTCCCTGACGGACAGGAGATGAGCAACTACTCTGCGTCAGACACTGGTCAGCACCGAGGACCTAACAACAGTGTGCGAGACAACTGTGGGGTGTGCCTGTGCACATGTGTGTGTGCGTGTGTGCCTGTGCAGAAGACAGGCAAACCCACATGGATGCTCAGTCTACCCAGGCAGACTGAGAGAGAGTTCAGAGGGCAAGGGGATGCTTCCTGGAAGCAACCTTTTTAGCTGAGAACGAGTGAACCAGGCACATGAATGGGAAGAGGAGTTCCAAGCAGAGAGCAAGGCCCATTAAAGACAGAGAAAGAAGAGAGAATAGGAGGTAGCTCTCATTATTATCCCCATCTTACGGATGAGGAAACTGAGGCTGAGAGATGGTAGGGAACTTGTCTAAGATTCCACAGCTTAGCAAGTAGTGAGGGGCCAGAATTCAACCCCAAGTCTGGCTAGCCAAGTGTGGGCTCTGGACCACAGTGCCGAGCGTCACGGCTTCAGACCTGCGGTCAGACGACTTTGATTTAAATCCCAGTTTTGCCACTTTGCTGGTTGAATGAGCCTGGACTTCTATAGAATGGAGATATCCAAGAAGCATCCAGTGTATAGGGCTGCTGTGAGAAGAAAATAAGAAAACACATGCCAGAATTTCAGCACAGTGCTGAGGACTTAGCTCCCACCATGTTTCTAAGTGAGGATGTTATGACCCTGCTTCTCGACCCTGCACGCCCTAGCCAAGGACGACTCCACCCCAAAGAACTGGCCTCTTGAACAAGTGTTGCTCCACATTCAGTATCACAAGGGCTTTGGGCAACCAGATTTTGCTTATCTCCATCGTTCTGCCTCTGCTCAAAAGGTGAGAACATAATTTATAAATAATCTCTAAGGCAATTCATCACCCGCAATTTGTATGAATTTGTCCAACATAAAACCAAATGGTATGTGCTAACTCCATTTTCTTCTGAGAATTCTCCTTTAATCTCAGTTCACCTGGATTTCACAGTCCAAAATGAGTTTTAACAATGTCATGTAAAAGTGTCTTGAACACATAAGAACAGAGGTACAGCTGATCAAAGGCGGATGAGGAGGGGCCGGCCTGGTGGCGCAGCAGTTAAGTGTGCAGGTTCCACTTTGGCGGCCCAGGGTTCACTGGTTCGGATCCTGGGTACGGACATGGCACGACTTGGCAAGCCATGCTGTGGTAGGTGTCCCACATATAAAGTAGAAGAAGATGGCTACGGATGTTAGTTCAGGGCCAGTCTTCCTCAGCAAAAAAGAGGATTGGCAGCAGATGTTAGCTCAGGGCTAATCTTCCTCAAAAAAAAAAAAAAAAAAGGTAGACAAGGAGAGTGAGCAGCAGGGGCGGGGTCATCGAGAGACAATTTGATAATGAGGATGCACAGAGAATGGATGGAACGGGACCTAGGGTTTTTGGTTTTTGTTTCAGTTACAAAATAGCCCATAAAAGATACAAACATCATGATATAACTTATAGTGACTAGGGGGCGGGGGTGGGCGTCTTGAGCAAGTTAAATCCTTGACCATAAAGTGAGAAATCTCAAGCTGACAAATCAAGATAGTGGTGTAAGTGCATTAACTTGGACGTAACCACGAGCAAAACCCAAAAACAGAAAAAAAAAAAAGAGAAATGATGAGAAGTGACTGCCCCTTGGGAGTCAAACTGGGGGGAAGGGGGGTCAGCAGCAACGACTGCTTCCTGTACTATCTGACTTTACTCAACTATGAGGATACGTTACTTTTGATTAAAAATAAACAAATTTAACTGTTTCACAATTGAAGGTTGGTAACTGCCTTTTCTGTAAGCTTTTTGGTGGCTGTTTTACGTTACTCTGGCAGGAGAGCAAGTTCTGCGATTGTGCACATCTGGCTGGAGACACTGCTCCCTTGATAAAAGTGGAACATCTGCACTGAGTGGCTTGATTAGCTCACAAAACATAAATAAATGTCTCAGGATGAACTATGCATTTTTGGCCCACCTGCACATCAAGGCAGACGGTCAAACCCAAATCGGGGAGAGAGGGAACTTCCTGTAGCGAGTGGGAGAGAGGAGAGGATGTGGGAAGGGAGCCTGCTCTGAGGTCCCACTGTTCACTAAGGAAGCGGGGGTCGGGGGGATGGGAGGGGAGAGAAGCCCTAGAAAAACGGCTCCCTCTTCCATCTTCACCAACCAACTCACTTGACCAAATCCATGAAAAACTAACCCCAAGAGATGTTCTGAACCTGGGAGGAAAACACCCTTAGATTTTGCAAAGTCCCAAAGACACTGAGTTGGGCCCAGCTGATGTCTCAAAGGGTAGGGGGCTGGTCCGGCTGAAGTCCTAACAATCCTTCGAGGCAGGGGGCTGAATGAACACATGCATGTGTGATGCAAACAGACCACGGGCGAGACCTCAACGCCCGAGCAAAGCCACAGCCACGCGAACCCAGCCCCACACTCACAGCACATGCATCTTGGACAGCCCCCAGAAAGCCCCGTCCGTCAGCTTGCTGATGTTGTTTCGCTGAAGCTTCAGCACCTCCAAACTGTCGAGCCCCTGGAACGTCAGGCCCTCGATCAGCCGAATCCGATTCCGATTGAGGTCCCTAAAGAGATGAAGCCAGCGGGTTCAGAGTGTCCCCTACACACACACCCCTACAACCATTCCCACACAGTCCCAGCTGGGTTTCCAAGCCAGCAGGGAAAATCCCGGTGAAGAGGTTCAGCGAGGCCTGGACATACAGTGGGAGCCCACTGTGCATCTCATGGCCACCCCTGCCCGCCATGCAGGCCCTGACACTCATAGGCCACCGCTGGTGAACGAGAGAGGAGGGCACAGAGCTCCCCAGAAGCCAGTCCTACCATGCCCCTGAATGAGCGAGTGCTCCCATTTCCTTCCTGAATAGCCATGACTGTGCAGTGAGGGGGTGGGTATGACTCAGGATGTGAACGTCTTAGGTGAGCTGTCTCTCAGCTCAGCAACAGGAATCCACACCAGATGTCTCAACCCAGGACAAATCTAACCACTGGATATCAGATGGCAATGACACTTTCCACTGGAGGCGTTAATAGGATCTCTATTTCCGGAGAGAAGTTACTGCCTATAGGGGGAGGAGGGATCCAGACACACCATGAAGCACACGCATTTGGCTTCTAGCCCCAGCATGATAAACCTCCGTTAACCAAAAGATTTCAGGAATGTGGGTGGGCTGGATCCCTCAGTGACACTGGGGGAAGGAGCAAGGGAACACAGGGCTAACCAGAGAGCCCTTGGTTTTCCCCAAATACTTCTGTCGTGTCTCATGACCCTGCCCCACACCACCTCCTGAGCATCCAGGGACCTTCTCCAGGACTGAAGAGAGCAGGGCCTGCATGCTGTGTGTGTGTGTGTGTGTGTGTGTGTGTGCGCGCGCTGTGTGCTGTGTGTGTGTGTGCACACACCTGTGAACACAGGCAGTGAGAGTGCTGGGGCACACCCTGTCTTGCTGCCAAACCTGGCCCTGAACAATTGTTTTGTTCTGTTTAAACCAAATCTCCAATAGTGGCTTCTTTTCCTGAGGTACACTCTTCTGCTACAAAGAGGACACAAAAAAACAAAAACCCAGGGAACAAACAATAGTCCATCAGGTTCTGCTAAATAGAGGTTTTCTTGACTCCAGACCTTGTACACCATTCAAGGATGGCACTCAGTTCTGGTCATCAAAAAACTAAACAAACAAATCCTTTCTTTAGAAAAAAATCCTAAGCCAACTACCTTCTAAGATTTAGGAGATGAAGACAATGGCCCATTTCTCACTTACTACCTCTGCCTACATGAACTTCTTCTCAAACTGCTCAAGAAGCATTGGACACCGTAATGTCCACGGTTCAGATTTTATGGGTACCTTTAAAAAAAACACAGGAACCCCTAAGATAAATACGGAACCCAACCCACACAGCCCTACCCATTAGCCAGGATCAGGTAACCAGCAGTATCCCTCATTTCATTTTGCAAAGTGCCAATGAGGACAAGCATATATTTCCTCAGTGGATCTTTTCCTCAGCAACCTTAGGCGGCCCGCAGGCACCAGACCCAGCTTCTAATTTGCTTTTATTAGGTGTTGCTATAGGGCCATTAATGATAGTTTATGCAGAGCTTGAGCGGGGGGAGCGGGAAAGGGGCTGCATTTGGTACGAGGTCCATGGGGAAATCTGGCCTCCATAAAGTTTGGCTAACCTTAATTAAAGTGCAGGTTTCTGTACTCACAGTTGTGTCAGCCTGGGTAACTTGAATGCTTTCACAGGAAGCTGGGTGATCCTGTTTTTGCTCAGGCGAAGCGTTAGCAGCGACCGTGACAGACCATCAAATGCTCCCGACTCCAGGGTGCCGATCCGGTTGCTGGCCAGGTTGCTGGAATGATTCAGGAGAGAAAATGCAGCGGTCAGGAGGAGGCCTTCCTCATTCCGTTACAGACACCAGACTCAGCCGAGTTGGGAAAATAAGCGAAAACACACCCACAGGGACAGGTTTCCAACGAGCTATTTGGCATCCCAAGGCTGTGAAGGGCATCTTCACTCCCAGATGGAGGAGCCAGGGAAATGCGAGTGTCAGGACTGTCCACCTCAGGCCTTGATGGGGCCTTGTTTCAGCCCACGGCACACCGTGCTTGTGGCAGTGGGCAACCCCAGGAGGGTGGGGGAGGAAGTCACTCACCTCTACTCCCTGCCTCTCTCACACGCCAGCCCGACCACATGGTGGCCACCTCTTTCTTCAACACCCACCACCCAAGGGTTAGGGTTCAAGGTTAGTGGGAAAAGCCCTAGGAAGCACAAAGTCAACTGCAAGGCTAGGGCAGAGTGGATTCACAATTTGGGGAAAGAGCTTTTAGTTCTGAAGTGGGTCTCATTATACGACTTATGTAATAAATGTGTGTAAACCAATTCATTTTAACAATTTTAAATGCGTCAAAGAAACGCTCTAGTTAAAGAGACCTGCCTGAAGTCCCTTAAGAAAACAGGCAATACTTCAATGGGACATCCACTTAACAGGTTCATGTGCATAAAGGGCACCTCCCCTCAAAACGCACTGCCGTATATGGCTAAGGTCTGCGTGTCCCATTGTGTGTAAATTATATCAAGCAATAAGAAGACAAAAAGAAGGGAAAAGAGAGAAAAGTCAGGGACAATATGGTCTTCCTATGAGAAGTCACCCCCAACACCTATCCTGCTCCCTTCCCCGGACAAATGCTGCTTTTTGTGGCTTAAGCAAAAAGGAAAAAGACCAGAGAGAGTCTTGTTTCTACCACATAGGGGGAAGGGAAGGAGGCATTTTGCATCTCTCCATCAGGCAGCGGCCCAGGACAGAGCACATGAGGATTCTTTGCAAACAGAGCTGGACTGTTTGTTCTTAACACTCCAGATTAAAGAAGAACAGTCTGTGTGATGAAGATATGCTGGCCAGTCTCTGCCAAACTTAAAAGTCCCTCCTGCTTTCGTGCAGAGAGAGAAGGTCAGTGCAATTCAGTTTAGCAGTTGCTGGGTTCTTTGTCCCAAGCAAGAAATGCCAGATGGCAGCTGGACACCTTTCCCTCGTTGGGGCCGAGAGCTGCTGCATTGACTTAACGAAGGCCACGGCCTCCCGTTTCCAATTCTGATGCCTTGATGCAGCCTAAGAAAGAAATCACTCTTCTTCTTGGGAGTCTTGGAAAATTTGTGCCAAGCCTTGGCCTCCCTGAACACATGGGTCACAACGACCCCTAAACCAGCCTCACAACGATCTCAAAAATTACTCAGGAACAGTAACAATGCAGGGAATGAAAACTCACGTGTCATGTGAAAATGTCTCTTTAGCCTGGTTTTCAGTTTCTTCCCTAAAGCAACATTTTTCTACAAACAGGCAGTGGGTTAAATACGTTTTAACTGTTTTTCCTCCCATCTACCATCCACTGGGTGTGAGATGGGGCATGAAAATGGGGAAAAAGTGAAACAGACCTACAAGGAAATCCAGAAGGTTCTGAGAACCCACAGAATGGAGTAACTGCCCCCTCAATTCAACCAAATGATGTATTTATAAAGAGTGCATGGTGCTAGAAAGATAAGATTGACAGGTGAAACCTCAGCAAAGAGGTCTCCCTCCAAAGTCATTCGTCTCGCTACTCCTGAATCTTTTCTCCAGGCTTTCCTGGAAGGCAGTCCAGTACATGGGAAAGAAAGCAGACTTTGTAGCTGAAAGAGATCCATACTTGAAGGCTAGGATCTCCTCTTCAGTGGTGAATCTGTTAAGTTACTACTTAATCTCTCCCCGCCTCAGCTTCCTCATCTGTCTGTAAAGTCAGAATAATGCTGCTGGTTTTGGAGATGCTCTCTAATTGGGCAAGTAGGAGACAACTTCCGGTGCTCTGGGTGCCCTGCTCTCGGCCCTGCTGGGCGAAGCCAAAGGAGGTGTGCGTCCATCCGCATGGACTCAGCCAGGCCATGGCCAAGAAGAGAAGGAAACATCTCCGCATCCAGACCTGGGTGCTGACAGCAGAGCAGAGGCACTTACAGCTCCTTGATGGGCAGCCCGAGGGGGAAGCAGGCGCTCCGGATCTCCGTGATATTGTTGGCACTCAGATCCAGCACTTCCAAGGAGAGGTAAGCCTTCAGCTGACTCCCCTCCACACTGCGAATCTTATTGTGTTGCCTAAAATACACAAAGGGAGGTACCTTGAGCATGTGTTTTTGCAAAGAAACTATTATTTTCCCCACATTTTTCCTAGCTGTTTTGCTCTTTCAGAAAATTACAAATGCACTGCCATCCTAAAATGGGACCTCCCATTCTTCTTTCCGTCAAGTTACTACCTGCTGGCTGGGTGCTAGACAGAACAGCGAATTCTTTGTCTGCGATGGGTTTGTCCGATCAAGTTCTAAGTGTGAGCTGCTCTCCCCAACAACACAGGGGTGATATTGTAGATGGTGCAGAGAGTAGCAGGACCAGAACTCAGAACTCACTGTTGCCCTTCCCATAAGGATGAGCACGGTGCAACCAGCCAGCTCCTAACGTGGCTCTCATCTCGAATCTTCAGAGCCTTGTCCACCCCATCACTGACAAGACTGCAGGCACCAGAGCCCAGAGTTCAGTTTGATCCAACTTAACGCTTCGTTACACACCTCACATTTCACCAACACCTACCATGTACCAGGAGTGGAGACCGGCACAAGGGATTCAAAAAAAGAAGAAGAAGATGACAAAATCCTGCCAACCTAACAAGGGAAATGGGAGCTCGGTGCTGAGTCTAACCCATTCCCCTGAAGCTCCTGACTCTACCCCTTGATAGCTTTGTTCCTCAGTTTCCTCTTCTGGAAGTTGGGGCTACTCCCCCTTATTTCAGGGAAATAGATGATCCAACCTGACACCACACTAAGCATCTGGCAGATGCTAACGTTGATGTTCAGAAGATTCACCCCCACTTTTACAACCAGGATTTATTCGTACCTTTAATGCTCTTTCTGAAAAACCCACAGTCTAACCAACCACCCAATATTTATTAATCAAGAGAAAGACAACGAACGTAGCCAAGCCCGGAGGGAACGGGCTGTCCCCTCGTGCGTTTGGCCCTGCCTGGCAGGTTCAAACCCCCATAGCTCTAATCCCAATATTCAGAGATTTAAGAATCTACTGGGTGGTAGCGCTGGGCCTCTGGGTTCCAGGCACTCACTCAGGCCAGTTTCTGAGTAAACAGTGTCAGGGGCTCCGGCCAATCAAAGCATTCTTGAACACAACACAAGTAAGCCAGGCCTCGCTTACCAAGTGGCATCTCTTTTAAACAAACACTTGACCAAATCAGTTCCAACAGGCATAAACAAGGCCCTCTTTCCCAGAAGCTCTGGGCCTTCTCGCCGACTCCTTTGTTTTTTTTCACAACTCTCCCAGGCCCTGAACCCAAAAATCCATTTACAAGGGCACATCTCCACGGCAGCGAATCTCCCTAGAATGAAAGCCCACTTTTCCCTTCACATCCCTTCCCTGCCCCCCAAAGCTATTTCCTTTGAGTTCTTTATTAAGTTCTTAATAAAGATAGTCTCTTCAGTTTTCTGACTCCAAAAGAAAAAGAAAGGAAAGAAGAAAATAAAGGAAAACCTTTATTATGTAAAGTATGGGGAAAAAAAAGAACAAGAAATAAAGGCAACGGAGCTGAGCCTCCTCCAGGAACTCTGAATGCAGTGCCAGGGAGCCAGGAAAAGAGGGCCTGAAAGAAGGAAGGGGTGCTGTGGACCCAAAGTCACACAAAGAGGGACCGTGCACAGTCGAAGGGGCCACAGGACAGCTGTGAGCCCCCGACACTTCTCCCACCACCCCGCCTCTCTCTCCTTACTGCCTTTTGTCTCGCACTTTCTTCTTCTTTCTTGTCAGTCCATTTAGTCACTAAACCAAACCTGTCTGGGCCCCTGCTCTGTGCCAGGCCCACTCTGTGATGAAGACAGTTCTCTTTCACACGCTGGAAAGAGTTCTCCATTTAGCAGAGGAGGCAGCCATGGAGATGAGAGACAACGGGGCGTGGGAGTGAGGGTTACAGAAGCAGGATGGAAGAAGTGAGCGGGGAGTGAGGGGGCACAGTGTTGAATTCTGCCGGGAAGAGGCTGCTGGGGCCAGTTTCAGAGGGCAGAATGCTGATGCTGGGAGGGGACAGGCAGGGCAGAGGCTGGGGTCAGGTCATGGAGCTGGGAGGGCAGGTGGGACCACGTCAGGAAATGCCCCACAGGCCAAGCTGAGGAGTAGGGAATCTATGTCATAGTGGTCCAAGTGAGAGGTGGCAGCAACAGAGAGACAGACACAAAAGAATAAGAGGGATGCCCAGGATCTGGAGATGACAGCTTGGGGGCAGGGGGTGATCCTAAATTTTCTTGTTTGGAAATGTTCAGATTACCAGGTTAGCAGGCTACTGGCTATACCTTCTGTCCTTGCCCACTTATGGCCTATTCCGAATCCAGCAGCCAGAGTGATCCTATTAAGGCATCCCACAGAATGGGAGAAAACATCTGCAAGTCATATATTTGATAAGGGGTTAATATCTAGGATATATAAAGAACTCCTACGACTCAACAACCAAAAAACCCCAAACAACCCAATTAAAAAAAGGGCAAAGGAATTAAATAGATGTTCCTCCAAAGAAGATATACAAGAGGCCAACGAGCACATGAAAAGATGTTCAACATCACTAATCATTAGGGAAATGCAATAGGATACCACCTCACACCCATAGGATGGCTACTATTTAAAAAAAAACAGGAGGGGATGGCCCTGTGGCCGAGTGGTTAAGTTTGCGCTCTCTGCTTCCACGGCCTGGGGTTTCGCCGGGTCAGATCCTGGGTGCGGACATGGCACTGCTCATCAAGCCATGCTGAGGCGGCATCCCACATGCCACAACCAGAAGGACCCACAACTAAGAATATACAACTATGTACCAGGAGGCTTTGGAAAGAAAAAGGAAATAAATAAAATCTTTAAAAAAAAAAAAAAGAAAACAGGAATAAAAAGTGTGGGCGAGGATGTAGAGAAACTTTCCAGCTGCTGAAGAAAATGGTAAGGTGATTCCTCAAAAAGTTATGCATCGAATTACCATACGATCCAGCAATCCTACTTCTGGGTACATATCCGAAAGAACTGAAAGCAGATCTCAAAGAGATGTTTGTATGCCCACGTTCATATCAGCATTACTCACAACAGCCAAAAGGTGAAGCAACCCAAGAGTGCGTCAATGGAAGGATGGATAAACACAATGTGACGGACACATACAATGGACTATTATTCAGCCTTCAAAAGGAAATTCCGACACATGCTCCAACATGGATGAATCTTGAGGACATTATGCTAAGTGAAAAAAGCCAGTCACAAAAAAGACAAATACTGTATGATTCCACTTCCGTGAGGTATCTAGCGTAGTCAGATACACAGACACAGAAAGGAGAGTGTGGCTGCTGGGGACTGGGGGAGGCAGGAATGTGGAGCTGCTCAATGGGTATGGAGTCCTAGTTTTGCAAGACAGAAAAAACTCCGGAGATCAGTTTTACAACAGGAGTGGTCTTAGCACTACGGAACTGTACACTTAAAAAATGATAAAGATGGTACATTTTGTGATATGTGTAGTTTACCACAATTTAAAAACAAAACAAAGCAAGAAACAAATCAGTTCACAGGACTCCTTTGCCTAAAACTCAAACAAGGGCTCTCGTGTCTCACTTAGGACTAAGTCCCCACAGTAGCCTCCAAGGCCCGTGCGATCTGCCACACACCCACCTTGCAGCCTCACTTTCTCCTCCTCTGCCTCACATGTTCACCGCACACGGCCCTCACACACACACAGCCCGCAGACTCCTGCTCAGGACCCGGGCACCCGCCTTTGCCACTGCCTGGAATGCTCTTCCCCCAGAGATCCCTACTTCCTTCCGGTCTTTATTCACATGTCACCTCCTCAATGAGGCTGCCCTGGCCACACTCCCTAAAACCACAAGCTCCTTCTCTCTCTCTCTCTCTCTCTTTCACACACACACACACACACACACACTTTCCACTCCCTTGCTTGCTTCATTCTTCTTGATAGCTCTAATTATCTTCTAATATACCCAGTATTTTGCTTATTTCTAGTTCAACATGTCCTCTTCCCACCTGGATGTGCCTCCGTGAAGGCAGGCATGTTTGTCTATTGTGTCTCCAGCCACCGGAGTCATGTGAGCCACATAACAGGTGCTCAATAAATAGTTTTGAATGAATCACGAAGAATAAATACAGGCTGAATTCACAAGGGCTGAGGCTGGACACAGATTTGGGATTTAAACAGAAGAAAACAATACAAGCAAATGAGTTCCATCAGAGAACGTGATGGAAAGAAGAGTTTGCCAAGTGCCCCATGGCAGCACTGCCAGACACAAACGACCAAGCCCACAGTGGCTTCAGAGGTCCCTGGGGCTCAAACACTGCTGTTCCCAGCTGCTGAGGATGGACATGCCACCTTCTCTTCCAGGGCTGGTGTCTCTGTGCTATAGCCCAGAGCCCTGATCAAACTCTTTCTGAACTCCTTGTCCACACAGCTCTGCTCTCTTGCAGGACTGCCTCCCTTCCCTCACAGAGCAAGAATCCCACTGTGTTAGATGTCTCTCTAGAGCCTGGTAACTCCACCCAAGGCCAAGAGTAGCACAACACTAAAGAAGAACACGCCATGTGCCTCGCCCTGCCTGAGTTCAAATCCCCGTTACACCACTTACAGCTATGAACCTCAGAGGAGCCCCGTCTATAAAGCCGAGTGTGAGGTTCCTATGCCCCATGGGCGGATGTGACCTGACATGTAGCAGCTGCTCAATAAAACAAGTTCATATTTTTATTAGTCATATTTGTATCCTCAGAGCCAGGCTCAGGATCTAGTTTGCAGGGGGTGCTCTGGAAAAAGAATGAATGAATACATCAATGACTGACTGGTTTCTGTCTCTTCCTCTGCCACATGTCAGTGCAAACAGGCAGCCTCAACTCCTCTCTCACGAACAAAGGGCTGACTCAGAGCTCTCACTCTTAGCTTTGTGTGTGAAACAAGCCTGCTCCAGCTGGAGAGTGTCAAACCCAGCCACAGGGAGACTGGGCCATCCTGGGGAGCCACGCTTCAAAGCAAATCCCAGACTGAAACTTCTGCAGGACTCAGGGTAGCTACAGAT